GGTGCGATAATGAACCCGAATTTAATACCAACGTTTAGGTGTTCGTTCGTTTGTTGGGACACGCGAACAATAAACCCGGTCGAATATATTAATTAATACGAACAAATAAATTGGGCTCGACGAAAAAGGGACTGGAATATTCGGGGCCAGTTTCGCGCGCTCGATAGAGATCTCTCCATAAAAGTTATCCGTTTCGAATTTAATTAGGGAAAAAGTGGCCCGGGCGTCGCATGGAAATCGACCGTTAGGTCCGCAATTCGTCTAATTAAGTCGCGCATAATAAGCGGGCCTTTTTAGGCGAGTTCCATCGCATGCCCGCCACACGTTTAGTTTCGCATATTTAATGAACCTAATGAAATTGGCGCTGAAGGGTTGAACACAACGATTTTCCCTTTTTAAAAAACGATACTTCGGAACGTTCGTTCTTCATCTTTCCACCAGATTACTACCTAAAGGAAGTAAGTTTTGTGTTGTATATATACAGTTCATTCGCAAAACTTTGTACTTAGCCTAATGACATAACGTTCGGCGTTTTGAAAGCGTTTCGGCTCCCCGGGAATTGGAAGTTTGTTCGTTTCGGGTAGTTCATTATTTCCCCTTCGAAGGTATATAGCACGGGGAAAATAATTATCTCGGATCAATCACTCTATTAGTCGCGAAAGGAGCGCTGCAAATTAGGCGTGGCGCTCAACTAATCGCTACTAGAAGCGAGAGCTTTGATGGATTATCTTCTAAACCCGCCCGGCCGACCCCCCTTTGTACCGTCCTTTCGCTTATTAACTAAATTTGATTGCCAGTCTCCACGGAAACCCGCTCGATTCGCCCGAAACGGGGATGTTTTCGAGGCTGCCGAAGGTCCGGCTGGGGAATCCTGTGGATGGAGCCCTTCGAATGCGGGCGGGAAATTCTTCCGGCGTGCAATGGAAACGCAGACGTCGCGACGACACGTTGCGGTAGGCCCTAAAATTCAATTTATCAATCAAGATGGCGCGCCGGCCCTGCGGACGTGCCTGCGAGTTCGGAAAACCCGACGTGATCGGCATTTTCCCACACCGGAAAAATTCCACGACGACGGCGGTTTTCGCCGCGAAAGTCGGCACAGATTTTCCGTTTTTTTAACAGTCTTCTACGATGCGTAATCTGGATAATAATTGTTTCGAATCGATTAAAAGTATTCCAGAATCTATTCCCTAATTTCCCGTTAAATCGGTATATAAAACCGTTCCTGCCGTACAACACTCCATAAATCTTTTAAACCGTCCATTGAAAGAAAGCAAAAACCCTCCTAGAATACCAATTAAACCTGGCAACTCCGGAGGTATTAGAGAACAAACCAACTCCTTTATCCAATTGTCGGGAGAACTCCGCTTCCTGAAATATTTCAATTATCAAAGTTTGCCTTTAAGGCAATTACGCGGCCGCCCGCGATGCTTTTTCTTCGCAACTCCCCGGCAAACTCGATAAGTTGCTGATAATGGAGCGGCGAAGGGCGGGAGTTTTCGGCCACACGCGCTACCTTTTTTCTATATGTATACACTTTAAATTGGACTCTTCCCGGAACCAATTACCGATTACTATCAGTCTTTTATAATAACGCAGCGATGACGTCACGACTGCTTATTTCTAACCGTACTATACCTAATAATCTTCTTTTTTACGTGGCCATTAGCTCGTAATGCGTTCAATAGTAATTCTCTTTGGCGCAATAATGTATTCTCTTTGGTCTCTCTCTCATCTCCTAATGTCGCTAATTCCGATTAATTAATTAATCTAATGCACTTTTAACGTAAACTAAACGTAAATAAAATGCCGGGCGAATGTGCGCGGGGATTCCCGAAAACCGGCTGCCGACAATGCCGTTTATTAAATATTGAAATAACCGAATGCGGCGCGGCTCCCTTGTCGAAAAAGGGGTTCGGCGTGATTACTCATTAAATAAACAAATACCTCGTTATCGTCTGCTCGGTTATACGAGTAGCGCACCCGCACGAATTAAAGGATGTTTGCCTTTCGGATTAATCCCTCCAGGTTTGTGTGTCTTACCTACTGTTAGGTCGAGGAAAATCCGAAAATATCCCGTTAATACTGAATGAACGCGGCCTCGCCGGTTTGGGTTATTCTCGCGATTTTTTGGGCTATTTTTCCTATGGAAAATCGTCCATAAACAGCGCGGCGTAAAGCGTAAATAAACCGGGCCGTAATATCAAAGTGGCCGTAATGCTTCATAAGACGAGGCGAGAACGGTCCGGCTATAAATAAAACGGGCGCAGGAAATGCCGCAGGAGGGAGAACAGGTAGTAATGGTCGTCTTTCTTCTCCTTAAACGGTTTGAATGGACTGCCGAGAAGAATTTTTTTTTATAATACTTCTACCGTTGGAATATTAGATGTTTGCAGGAGAACTCTAATTTTAATTGCGAACGTTTTTTTTTACGAATTTATGGCTCGATTAATCTTTTTTTTAACGCCCTAAACTGACAGAAACACTTACGTTTTAATACATCAAAACAGCCGGGTTTTCTTTTGAAAAACCATCAGCGGGATTAGGAAAGGAAACGCCGGCGAGAACGCTTTGATTTCGGGGCCATTAAGAAACCTCCGAAACAGCAATTGCGGGAAATAATAACAGTCAAGAAAAGCGGGAAATTCGCGAATCGCGCGATTTTTCAATTTAACCGCTACACGTGCTTATTTCGATCGTATAAAGTCGAGAAATAGTGTTTTTAATTATCTCTTTAACTTCATTTTACCGGCGCAATTTTCCCGCTTATTTGCGCTCCCATCGTAAAACCAAACAAACCGGATTTATTTCATAATGTACCTGGCGAGTTCGAATCGAAATTAGATTTCCACGCGTCGCCCAGGAGCCCACTACACACATCAAAGGCCCCGTAACAAAAGATGCTCGTTCTCTTCGCTTCCACAACCCGACACTTTATATGCAAATCAACCAGCTCGCGGTGAAAAACTTCCCGAGGCCTCATCGCTCTGTACAAACATATTATTCATTTAATCCATCTTGCGGCGTTTAATTCGCCCGGCGACATTGAATATTTGATCGGGACCGGTTCATTAAAAAGAGCCCGGCTCGTTTTCAACGCACCGGTAATTCCCCGCCCGGTGGCTAATGTCCCCTGCACCGGGAAAATACCGCGCCGGCGACGCCGCGACGCTCTCTTCTAAAGCATGATTGATGCGGCGAACGCATTAACATTTCGACGGGGACGAGGAAAGATACAGGGAGGCGTTTCATATTTAACGAAAGACCGCGATGATGGCGAATTCGAGACAATAAATAGCGAGTCCGATCGATAAATTAAAAGTGGCTGTTCGCCCGACCGCCGGAAATTAACACCCCGTCGACGGGAAGTTGGCGCAGCGGCGTGCAAATCGAACGGCCTCCGCCGAGTCGATTTTGCAGTTAAATCGAGCGTTTTAGTTTTCTCAGTGTAACCAGATTCGCTTCGCTTTGAATTGGAATTAATTAATCGAACGAAACGAGGACGTTATTATTTTTGACGTGTGACAGTCGTTCATTCGCGATAGTGTCGCGCGGATGGAGTGCACGAGGCGAGTTTAAATAAGAGGAAACGGAAAATACGCCGAGGGACCCGTTTGTTCCGCGTTTTTTTCCTCTTATTTTTCGAGTTTTGTTCGATGTAAACGCGCGTAATTGGAGTATGGCTTTTTCGTCGTTCAAATACCCGCGTAAATACGGTTATTCAGGCGATGTACGTGTCGAATTATCATTTATTATTTACCCAACACTGACGATATAAAATGGTGTATTCGAGGAAAATTGTTGTGGAGTATTACAACTAAATAAACGGGGTCGAGTAGTAGTTATTTGGCGAACAAAAAAATCAATTTGTGCGTTATCGAGCAGACGAAATCCACTGCTTAAAGCGAGTTGCGGCTTTCACACGGGTACTTTGAACCCGACGTAAATCTCATTCGTTCCTTTCGCTTGCGTAACCCGAAAAATCGACGCTCCATTAGCCGGGCGGACCTTTTCGGCGGAGACCGCAATTAACACGGAAAAAACGAGGCTAAAATTACACAATTACGGCGTACAGTCGAGGCGGTACGTCCATCGCGACGTCCGCGAATAGAGCCGTTTCTAACGGCGCTCCGCGGGGCACCGCTCCGGCTAAATTTCCAGCGCGAGTTTCGTTCAAATATTTGCCCGATTCCGGCGCGCTCGTTCAATTATTAAGTGCCCCGTTTGTTTGTTTTTTTATCCGGCTTGATGATGTTTTCTTAAGAGACACGGCTTTAATCGATCGGGCGCTCGTTCACCGATCCGATACGCGAGCAATCTCCTAAACAATCTGGAGAGCATTCGAACGCAACTTTGTCGCGTTCTCGAAATGTAGCGAAATAAATTTCGAAGGAGAGCTCAAAACCTCTACCTGTCGAGCTGTAAATTCACGATAATCGCGATCCGTTCGGTGTGTTTACAAGCCGCGTATGTAATTTTAATTGGACGCACATGTGCCTCGCATGTTTCGAATAACTCTCATCGATGAGAGGAGTTCGTGACATCTTCGCCTCGCGGACGTCGCGCTCTTTATTTTTAGAACGCGCATATTTTCGAAAAATTTGAGAGAGTCTCGCGAGGAACTACTCTATACCGACTATATTCATGTGTTTAATCGAATTTTGAAATGCATGAAACTGAATACAAAATGCACTATTTGACATAAATAATCGTTAGTTTTGCGAGCCATAAAAGGCCATTTTTGTTTAGTTTTGACTTTTGACAGTCGAATTTTGAAATGCATGAAACGCTCGGAATACAAAATGCACTATTTGACATAAACAATGGTTAGTTTTCCGAGACATAAAAGTCCTTGGTTGTTTAGTTTTGACTTTTGACAGTTTTGATTTTAGCGATTAAGATAGAATTTATTTATTGCAAATTTTGAACAAAACCCTATCTTAAATCGAACTTGTGATTGAACGCTCAATGAATAAAATCCACGTTTTCTATTTTTTTAGAGGGAATCAGCTCAGAGGGATGCTGACCGCGAACGACGATTGCGCTCCGACAGCGAAACCAGGGCGAAGCTGGCCCTCCAGGACGCCGCCCGCTGCAGGTCCAGGCTCAAGCTGCTCACGTCCGAATTCCAAAGGTAACCCGGCTCAAATTTACTTTAGCGGAAATCGACGTCGGGGTCGAGACAAAGTTTTTCCTATGTAGAATGACGAGCTGAGTCCGAAAATGGCAAAATTTCTTGCCGGAGACGCAAGGGAAAAAAGTTATGCCACTTTTAAATTCTTAAGTTATGACTTCGGGATATCCATTTTTTCAACGTATTTCACTGCAAAACATTAAATTACTATAAAAAATCATTAAACTGCATTTAAAATTGCTTATTATTCAATTATCTATCGAATATAATACAAATAACATGAGTTTTTAGCATAAATTAAATCACAATAATATAACCTAAAAGTTAAGAAGTAAAAATATAAAGAAAAAACATTGACCATTGACAGAAGATTCTGCGATGTTGCCGTACTCTAGCGGGTGTAAATGGTAACATTAGATGTAGGGTAGATGTTAGATGGATGGGGTAGGGCGGGGTAGTGTAGGGTAGTGTAGGGTAGGGGGTAGTGTAGTGTAGGGTAGGGTGTAGTGTAGGGTGGGGGTAGGGTAGGGGGTGTGTGTAGGGTAGGTTGGGGTAACGAAGGGTAGGGGGTAGTGTAGGGAAGGGTGGTAGTGTAGGGTAGGGGTAGCGTAGGGTGTGTGTGTAGGGTAGGTCGGGGTAACGAAGGGTAGGGGTAGTGTAGGGCAGGGGGGTAGTGTAGGGTGGGGGTAGGGGTAGCGTAGGGTAGGTGGTAGTGTAGGGTAGGGGAGTAGTGTAGGGTGGGGGTAGTGTAGGGTATGGGTAGCGTTGGGTAGGGGTTAGTGTAGGGTAGTGTAGGGTTGGGGTAGTGTAGGGTGGGGTAGCGTAGGGGAGGTTAGGGCAGGGCGGGGTAGTGTAAAAATAAGAGTAGTAGCCGTAAAACTACAAAACATGGCAACATTGCAACATCTTTTGTCAAATGTCAAATGTTTACCATTTATATTTTTACTTCTTAACTTTTAGGTTATATTATTGTGATTTAATTTATGCTAAAAACTCATATTATTTGTATTATATTCGATAGATAATTGAATAATAAGCAATTTTAAATGCAGTTTAATGATTTTTTATAGTAATTTAATGTTTTGCAGTGAAATACGTTGAAAAAATGGATATCCCGAAGTCATAACTTAAGAATTTAAAAGTGGCATAACTTTTTTCCCTTGCGTCTCCGGCAAGAAATTTTGCCATTTTCGGACTCAGCTCGTCATTCTACATAGGAAAAACTTTGTCTCGACCCCGACGTCGATTTCCGCTAAAGTAAATTTTTACCGGTAACCCGCCCTTGTCTTGCCAAAAATAACCACCCCCTCCCGTAAATTCGTTTTAATTATTCAACCGTCATCGGCTCGGGCACTTTGCGAGTTCCATAATCGAGGCACAAAAAGGGCACCTCTAAAAGTGAAAATTATCATTCGGGCCGCGGAGATGGCGGATCCTCCAACGTTATCATAGGAATTTGTATGGAGTTAATAAGGGGCGCGGGAGCGTCGGGGGCGAATTAGGGTGGCCCGGCGGAAAAAGACGTTAGACGGGGGGACGTCCTCCCGGCTAAATCTTAAGAACTTTAAAAGAAGGGTGATCCGGCTCGAAGACCACAGGGAATGGGAGTATAGAGATGGACGTATCCGGAACGGTTATTTCTTGCAAAAAATAGTGTATAAAAAATTTTTTGCATCGATTTACAGTGTATTCGATAACGGTAATGCGATAAAAATGAGATTGGAATTTTCAATTACGTTTTAGGCGTATAAAACAGCCGCTCGAGCGGGGTTTATGCTTCCCAATATTCTTCGCGAACATAAAGTCACCGTTCCTGCGAACTATGCTTTTTTTCCTGCTAACATCATAATCAATAAATTACATATTGAACGCATCTGTTCGTAAAACTTCCGCCACTGTATTTTTATATACCCTCTTGAGCTTTTCATCCCTCTTATGGAGCAACGGCAGTCGCATCCTGCGAGCCGGATTTAGAGATGGGACGCGGTATTTCACCTGCCCTATTTCGAGATGGTGTGGGCGGTTCGGAAAATCCGGAAAAATAGAACCAAATCGGATTATTAGCCCCCCGATGTTTCCGATGAAACAATTCGTGTTTATTTGCCCTTTTTCCCTCTTTAATTGGACCGGATCGGCGCGGAATCGGATTAGGGTTTGTGTATTCAGCGCGAACGCGATACAAGAAAAGTTACTTTTCGCAAGGGGGCACGAGGAAAATCATCGATTTTCGCTAGTAGCTCGCGTAAAAAATTCATGCGGCTGCCGAAATATTTATCGCCGGTCCCTTCTATTTGCATTGCTCTATTAACAGAGACGATTCGAACGGGGAAAATAAAGTGCAAATATACACACCCCCGTGTTAGATGCACCTTACACGTCGTCCGGAGTAGCGAGCAAACAGAATCTCCGCCGAAACCCGACGTTTCCGTTCAGTTCATCCAGCCCGGTGCTCGAGGCCCTAATAAGATAAGCGACTTTAAAAGCAAACAATCAAATATTTGCCGTTCGGATGTTACCGGGGGCCCGCCTACCCCAAAAACTCCGGTTACTTAGTTACTTTTCAACCGGGCTTTATCTAACCGGCGGCATCTGCGATCGGTTTTTTATCGCCGAGTCAGCCAGAGGTGCCAACAGAAGTCGCTAATTAATCGATATCTATCTGACAAGAGGTTAAAGTTAATCGATCACGATTCCTCGAACACGGTCCCTTTTGTTGGTATCTCGAGTGTACAAGTTTTTTTCGTTCGGTCAGCGGGAGATTGATGATGGATGAAGGGAAAGCGAGGATTAGATAGGGAAAAAAACACCCGGACGAATCGACCGAAGAGTCTCGGTTATTGTCTTCCTCGAGGAATGCATTTTTTTGCGAGCGCGAGTTTGTCAAATTACGCGGAAAATCGCCCGTCGATCAATTTTTTATCTTAATTGGAATCTGATGTGTGTCGAGATAACGTAAAGAAGTTATGATTAGTTCGATAAACGAGGCATTTTAATCGTAATTTCGCCCCTATAATGCATCGATCGATTTTCGTATTTATTACACCTAACGGGGTGTAATCGATGTTTAATTCCAGGGCTAATAAATCGCCCTGTATTAGAGCAAGGGTGGGTTTCTTTGTGCTACAGCGTACACCGAATTGAATAAACAAATAACGTCCTTATTGGACGAGGGGGCTGGTTCTATTGTGTAGATTAAATTAAACGTCTTGCGACAGAGGCCGATGGACGTTTTCTGGGAAAAGGAAAAAAATAAAAAAAAGCCGAGAGATTAATAGCGGTCAAAAGAAGAGGAACGCGCCCCGTCGGCGAAAGCGACCGGAGGTCTTTAGGGGGCGCGTAGAAAACTCGGGAAAGGGCGAATCGCACTCGTAAATACGCCATTGTTCGAGATTGGTTATACTTTATTAGGAAGCGTAGTGCATTCACCATTGAAATTGCGATTCATACGAACATATCGACATCCCCTGGTATACCAAAACCATTTAGAACGCTTCGGAATCATTATAGGAACGCTTCAGAACCAGTTAGAACACTCCATGGTCATTTAGAACCGTCTAAACCAATTTAGAACGCTCCAGAATAATGTAGAACTGTCTAGAGCCTTTTAGAATGTTCCAGAATCATGTAGAACTGTCTAGAGCATTTTAGAATGTTCCAGAACCATTTAGAACGCCCCAGAATCAATTAGAACTGTCTCGAGCTAAAGATTCCAACTCAATAAGAAGATTAATGTAATTTTTCAATTAAAAATCGCGGACTTTCATTGTCAATCCGAAAACTTTTCACCTTACCCTTGTATGTAGGAAAAAACCTCTACTCATTTGATTTGCGTACGCGCGTAATTTACCATTAGAAGCGAGCGGTCGACCGCAAGTAATAATTCCTTTTTTTCTCGTCATTTCACCGGCCCATTGTCGGTTAATAGTATTTCCACCGCGCTGTCATTAGAACGCATTACTAGGCGAAATTGCCGGCCCGTGAGAAAATTTTAAATTACGCGCGGGGTCGTACGATTTACTTTCGCGCCCGGAGAGAAATCTGTGCCGGGGGAAGGTCCGATCGTCCGAGCGATATAATTCTTTTTTATGGACACGTTTGAGCGAGAAAGACGGCAATAAAACGTGTGGAGGAGAGCGTTTTTTTTTTTCTTCTCTTCTATACTCTCCGTCCAGAAATCCGGATTCGCTCGGTAAATCTCCGCAGTTCGGTTTATGGGGGTAATTTTTGCGTGAAACAAAAAATAATCCTTATCGCGCGCGTTCAGTACGTATACGGGGGTATTTATTACCTTGCATTTTTCTTTCACTTTTATCGAACTTTATTTAGCTTTACAAAGCCCTTTTAGAGCGAGAGTAAATGCTTTTTTTTACGGCTGCAGCTCGACGGTTTTCTATTCGCCCCCTTGCGCATCTGGCCTTTTCTGTCTATCTTACGCAGCTCGAACAACCATTTTTTCATGACATAACCTAATATAACCCCCTAGTTTGTTATGTATAACACGAACAATCCGTCTTCGTTACAAGTAACACATTCGCAGCTTTTTGCCTTTCAATCCATCAAAGTTATTAAAAACTGATTGTGACGGCTCCCGGGGCGCTTTAATTCGTGATTTCTTTAATAATTCAACTACTTTTCGAGGGGTTTTATAGTGCATTTAATATAGGAAATTCCCGAAACAATTTTTTTATATATAAGAAAGATAAATCTAGCGCAAAAGGACGTTCCGTTTCTCTCCCTTATTCCCCATACATCATTGTACGGCCGGTTCTCATTTTCGTAAGTACGTATACGCGGATAGGTTCCCGCTTTTCCTCCGGATTTTCCGCCGTTTTTCAGCGCTCCCGTCGACCAGAAGGGTCTCCAATTATTACCGCCGGACAACCGGCTGTTTGTTTATCGCAACTCCTAAATCATTTTTCCAATTACAAGTATGCGCTCGGTTAATAATCCAAGTCGAAGCTCGAGGAAAGCCACAGAAGTAGAGAGAATTTGTGCGAAAAATCGCTACTTGAATGTTATCAGGGAAAGCAACAAAAGTAGGGAGAAAATTTGTATTATATCAAACAGTATGTTCGCCTCTGAGCCTTTGGAAATTTCGAATAATACCGGAGCAATACAGTGAAAGATTGGAATCAATTCACATGAGCCAATCTCTTTTCGTTCTGGGGAACATCAAATAAAAGTTTTTTTCTTTATACGTCCGGAGGAAAAGTCTCCTTTTCACGAAAATTACCTTACTTATTCGGCTCGTACAGATATACTTTCTGCCGTTTAAATTTCAAATATTTACCTTTCGGTTTGAGACGTTCCGGCATGCTTTCCCGGTTCGGATTATTATGCGAAAAGCGAGGTGGGGTCGAATCATTCAAATTCCCGGGGTTCCCTTTGGGACCGAGACGGAGGGAAAACAGATCGATAAGCGGAATTAATAGACGAGTTAAATTCGTTTCCGTTTTTCCTCGGTAACCTACTGCGTATAAATTTTCTATCGATTCGTATAAGTATTGTTTTCCTGACGCGGGGGGGATTTCGTCCCGGGAGCGGATGAATTAGGCGAGGGCGCCGAGAAAGGATTTAAGGCATATTGCTCGAGTTCGGCAACTCCGGCGGAATTGCGAATAAAAAAAGGCGTTGAACTGTCATAAAATTCCAATCTCTAATCAAATCCCCCGCGCGCGGATCTCTTTGTTTTTCGATTAGAATGATCCGGCAACGACAACCGATAAAAATAAATTTCCATTACGCCCCTCTATACACATCCGCAGCGGAAAATCCTGCTCCTACTCCGGCGTTTTACCTACTTTTTTTTTTATTTAATAAACGCGGAAAAAAAAACTAATTTCCCCGGTTAAACATTCGGCCGAGTACATTTACGGGGGCGCGTATTAATTAAATAAACCGACGGGAATTTTCGCGCGGACCCGGCAAGATTTACAGTCGCCCGGACACAAAGGAGACGGAAAACCGTCCCGAAACGGCCGCCCGCCTTTTTCCAAATTAATTTTCCCTTTTTCTTTCGCGCCTCGCCCGGCACAGGAAAAAAACCACCGCCGCACGGCGATAAATTTCGCGCGGGTCGAATTTTTTTCAACGAAATTACAGTCGCACTAAACAGGGCAGTTTATACAGGACGAGCAGAAGAATGCAGATTCGTTAGATGTACTAATAGGCCGAATAGCCTTTGTTGTTGAGGCCTCAAACGAATTAGAAGAGGAAGTACTAGTAAACTTTTGGTGTACAGGGTAATGTAATTATACAGGGTGTACATTAATTGAGTGCCGATGCTTTAGGATGTGAATATTTGGATGGTTTTAAGGAGAAAAGTTTATATCAATGTATGCCCTAAACCTCTTAGTTTTCCAGCTACAGGGTGTTACAGTTTTAGAGAAAAAAAAAATAAATAACTTTTCGAGTTATTTTGGGATATTATTCGGATTGCTAATTATGGTCCATTTAAATGGCCCGCCCGATCGCCAGACTTAAGTCCTCTAGATTCCTCGATTTTACATCGACATTTTTAATTAGTTCTACAATCAGTCATTTAATTGATCCTCGATCTGACACACACTGTATATTTGTGATTTTATAAATGCGCAAGGTATTGGTGTTTGGGTTTTTCGGTGCATTTTCCGCCGGGAATTTGGAGTACGTCCAAATAACCGAAATGTCCGCCTTTGCGGAAAATCCGTCCGGAATTTATGTCGGACGTTTCGGATGAGAAATTTGTTTATTTTGTTTTGCAGAATGGAAGAAACTGTGCGTGCCATGTTGGCGTATAAAAGGCAAGCGGAGCAACTTCGACAAGAAAAGGCCGCTCTAACTTTGGCGTTCGAGGTAAGTTTAAAACGTTTTCTTCTTCTTTTTTTTTAATCTTTCCGTTCCTTCTACTCCATTCCGTCCGGATTTAATCTCGGTAATCGCTTGAAGTGAGTATTTAAACGATAAATATCGCCTTCGACGAGTCGTTTGATGAGATAAGAGTTGTTTGGAAAACAAAGGGGACATAGCGAATTCAATTTTTCCGGTTTTACGACCTCGCAATTTTATACCGTTGTGTAAAAACTCGACGAGCACTCGTTTAAACTCATCGCAACGATTTCGCGCCGAACGACAGTAATGACAACTGACGTATGTCATTTGTCAGACAGGCAACCCTCTCGCGCGAAACGCATTAAAACTTATTCGGTCGGTGTCGTTCGCGCCCCGCGCAAATCGGATTACTCCCGAGATATTTCTTGTCTTTCGGAAAATCGTCGAGGGCTGGAAAGTGGATTTCCCCAAACAAGACTTTTATCGCATTATCTGTCGCCTCGGGTTGCATCCGCTGCCGATATAATGGGGAGGCATCGTCGAATTTATTTTGATGCGGTTAGACATAATTCCGGTTTAGTTTGAGCGATATTAGGGGGTTGAAGCACTCACCCCCACGAAACAGATCCACCCTATATATACAAGGTGTTCCAAAATGCCATGCTAATATTTTAGGGGGTGATTTTTGGGCCTATTTTAAGAAAAAAACTTCATATGAACCTATGTCCTAAACGTCTTAACTTTTGAGATACAGGGTGTTAAAGTTTTAAGAAAAAAATTATTTTTTTGTAATAACTGAGGTACTATTGAAGATATCTTTATGAAATTTAGCACACGTCTTCTATGAATTAAGATGCGTTTTCTGATGTATAAGTGATTTTATTATTTTCAGCAGTGGCGTCCGTACGGGCTATGCATTGAATATTTTTGGAGAAAAAAATGGTACGCCACTGACTAATATTGAAATAAAAATTATTTTCGGAATCCTCATTCAATTTAGAACAAATATGATTTCTTGGCTTTTTTCCGTACGACTCATCGTTTCGCATTAAAAAAAATAAATGCATTCATTTGTACTCTGCCGCTTAGCCGCCTTAAAATGGGTCCAAAAATCACCCCCTTAAACATTAGCATGTCATTATGGAACACCCTGTATACGCTATACATACATATATCGGTTACTTCCGACTTATTTATATTTGTGTACAGTCGCAATCGATACCGCGGTAGTTATAGAGCCGTAAAATAAGCAAAAAGGGGTTGATGATAAACGTTCCGGTCGAAATCCACCCCTTTTCGCGTGTTTATACAGCCCGCATAATCCGCCGTTCGGTTGCTCATTCACTACTCAATATCCGCTGTATCGGTAAATACGAGTATAAGGTATTAGACCAGCAGATACAAAAACTCCACCGTTTTTTTTTTAATAGGGGCGAATTTTAAGGGTGGAAATGTGATTTTTTTTAGTTACTGCTCATGTTGGAGTTTGTAAAGAAGGAATTTTGAGTATTGTTCTTTTGAAGGGGTTGGTTTGGTGAATACATTTCGCAAATTCAAACGATACGAACGAAAAATCAATTCACTTCATACACTATAGGCAGGTGTTTCAATAATTTCAGTATAAATCCAACCCCAACAAGAGTAAACAACATAACACAATCAATCTATTTATACTACAACCTGCGCGTAATTTACCCATCACCTCCCATATCACGCCAAACTCAAATAAACTCCTCCACGCCGGGAACCCCCGGTTATTCCACTCCGAACAATCGTTTCATTGTTTTTGATTAATACACGATATATACGAAACTATCCGAACACACAATATAAATAGAAAATTCGCCCTCCCGTCGACGAGCTGAATAATGCATGCGTATTCACGCTCCGGTGCTCCGGGGCCTCCGCCGTACCTCATACAACGGAGTGACAGGTAAATAGATCGAGGTTACGTTCCGTCGGCGGCGGCAACTTTCGCCGCCGCCCCGCCGCCGGCAAGTTTATCAATTAACGGCAATACGACGCCCGTCGCGGCGCCTTAATCGCCTTAATTCCGACGCGTTCGACGCGCCTCATCTTCGATTGATACCGCCTGATGAATCAATTAATGTGACAAAGCGCTTCGTTTCAATACAACGTTGCATTGCGATGAATTATGAATTATCCAGCGCGATTATCCCTTTTTATATTAAATTTTAAAGCTTCGCATGAATTTGTCGGCGTAAATCAAACTCGAGGTGGCCAAAAAAAATCCCTTGTTTATCCGACAATTACCGCTAAACTCCCGAAAATCTCGACGGGCGAGGAGCCTCCGGCGGTGCCCGCGAGGCGGCGTCCCGCGCCCCCCCCGGGCGGCCGGAGCCCTTCCTGCGGTTTTCCTGCAAACAAAGGGAATGCTCCCCTTGTATACGCGGTGCATCGGTTTCAGTTTCCACCTAGCCCTCGACCGGCGCTGCGCTCGTTATATTTCTACTTTTGGCGGAGTACAAAGTCGAGTATCTTCGGGAATACGGGGAGTAATTTAAGGGCGCATTTCGCATTAGAGCGCTTTTAGGATATGCGTCCAATTTGGAGTCCCCTCGTATCTCCAATAATTAAAAAAGAATTAGGTACCGAGAGCGGGGGCGGGTTGTTTTATTTTATACCCTCGCGCGGTGTATACAACATCCCGAATTTCGCATCGGCTGAATCCGAATCCCTAATTTTTTTTTATACGTTAAAATTCCCTCTCCCTTTAGCGACGTGTCGCCTTCCTTTGCATTTTTTATTAATAGTCCTTACGAGGCCGGGGGAGAATCCACCCTCGCTTATCTTGTTAGCAGTAACTTCTTTTGTTTCGGTTGATTTCACTTCTTAGAGGATCCCCGCCGGCCGGGATTAAACGGGACATCGCCAAGATTTCAAACTCGATATAAAACAGTTTTTTTTCCTCCTCCTCCAAGTGGAACCCCAATTTCTTTACTAATTCACAACACAAAGGTGTCGCTTATATTTTTTAGATTCGGCAACGTCGCTTTATTGTTTAAAGTGGCATTTTAGTTCCGTGTCATTGATTGACATGAAACGAGTATTATTGAGAAATTGTCAGTGATTTCGGTATTGCCAACTTAAAATTAGTAACTTCTAATTGCGCTGTACCGAATAGTTTTTGCGACCCCTAAATACCGTGCGATGGCAATTTAATGTTCGGGCTATTAGGCAACACCCGGCGGCGCCCATCGAGTCTTAATAGATGCGAGTCGAAGAGCGGGGGGGAGATTATTTCGCAACCCCTGTACCATTTCGGAGGCGGTTAATTACCGCCCTTGTCAAGATGTCATTCATTTTGTTTCTGGGGGATGTATGTATGTGTGTGTGTGTGTGCATGCGAGGGACGATGTTTTATGGATTAGGTTTTTTAGGGGTTATTTTTTATATCGGGGTGCGGACGGTAAATTAGAGAGTTGTTCGCTAATTTGAAAGGTTTATGATTTTAATGTAAAACGAATGAATTTATTTTGTGGAAATTGCTCGGTCGGAGTCATATATCTACGGGGTGGTTCGTGGAAGTGGTATATAGTTTAAATGAATCACCTTGTATAGCTATATTTCCGTTTTCTATTATCCGAAATCGACAGTTTTTTCCCTCGCGAATTTCCACGCGATTTTCATATAAAATGCAAGTAAACGCCCGCTTTGTTTTGTCATTTTTCCTTTACCCTCGCCTTTACCACTACCTCTCTTATAAATATCGAAGTTTCTAAAATAATATTTATAGCGAACAACCCCCGGAAAAACACCTTCGAGGCGAAATATAAAATGCAAACGAAAAATAAACATGTAAATACAATCGAATACCTTCCACTCTGGCGTATTTGAAAATACAAACTCGCGATTTCGAGTACATTTTTTATCGAAAACGCCGCACTTATTCATAACCATTACCCCACGAATGGACCGCGAACGAAATCCCTTTACGACTAAACGGATTGATAAAAAAAATACTCGTCGGTCCGCAACAAAAGGATCCGGCAAATCCCCGAATTATCCCGGAAGGATTAGGGCGGCATGTCCGGCGGATTCCGGCTGAAATTCCGCTAAAAAGCGGCGTCTCGCTCCAGATGCGGTCGAATTGATTGTAAAAGAGGGACACGCGGGACCAACGCGGGGCGTTATAATTGCGAACGTGCAGTCGATTTGTATTCACCCAGATAATCAGATAAATTCGTTAGGGTTATATCGTATATCTTCTAGGTAAACGATCAGAACGTTGGGCGAATTTACGGTTATTACGGTCCCCGGGAACGTCGGGTCCTGAATTTTACATTCCGCATAAATCAAACTTATGTATTTTCCGGTAATTTACTCGCCCTTATCGTCGAAAATACTTTCCGTTTGTTTAGAACGATATCGGAATTTAAGGGCGCTCGCTCTTAAAATCTACGCGGTGTCATCAGGGGTTGTGTTCACAAAAAAAAAACCAGCTCGATTTTTAGGCGCATTAATAACGCAAAATTCCAACGCTCACGCGAAACCCCTTCTAATCTCCCAAACGAATCTCACGTGCAGCCGTTCGAATCCAACAAATTCGTCGCTTATCGCCCGTCTGGCCGCAAATATTCTTCCGGGAAAATAAACATATTAAACATTTAAACCGTACACGGTCGATTTAATGAAGTACCTAATCGCAAAATAGTTCGAAACGGCCGTCCCTCGGGACGAAAGGGCCCCGACAAAAGGGTCTCCCATAACGCACGAAAGTTTCGACGCCATCCGCCGAAAACCATTCCGTTACGGCCACCCCTTTACCTACACTTAGGGGTCGTTGGAACGCACCAAAAAAAAACCACCCCATTCGATTTTCCGCGCCGAAGGAAATAATCCGCTCCTCTCCCAACGCACTACAGTAGATACATTCGAGGTAGTCGTGGACAAACTAGAGCATTCAACGATAGTAAAGGATATCCATTTTCGTTAGACTATTTGGTAATTTTTAGTAATTTCCGCGCAGTTGAAAATGTCCCTAGTGCCAATGTTAATTCTTCCATTTGACTTGGGGAATTTTACGACGCGCAGTTGAACTTCCGAAGCGATGTTGTCTTGCGTTAGTCTTAAAATTCCGCTCTTTTACGTTGACAGGTTATGTTTACAATTTGTTGTTTTTACTCGTTGTTTTTCTCGCAAGCTCACATCTCCTCCTGATCTACTTTTTCATGTTTAAATTCTACTATTTAAGACTTTTTTTTAATTTGTAAACAATGAAAGTAAACATAACCTTAAATTGAATATATCTGTCACATCGAGGATATCAATTACAACCCGGCAACGTTGCAGCAGGCTGGCCCGAGATCCACTAGTCTAACGAAAATGGCCAGCCTTTATATTTGAAATAGTCGCGGAAAAAATATATCTAGTTACTGAAGCTTCGATGAAATTATTCCAGAACCGTTGCCAACAGTATCAAAGCACGATAAGCCGTTTGAATACGGAAATAGCGACGCTTCGTCGACAATTGGAACAAGCCGGAAAGGATAACAATCCGGAAGGGCTATTGCAAGCGCACGCCGCCGCCCTTCAAAGGCAAGCGGAAGAATCGAGGAAGCAGTACGAACGCTGTCTGGACGACGTCGCCAATCAGATAGTCAAAGCGCTGCTCACCCAAAAAGTACGTAGCAATAAAATCTCGATCAATCCTCCGATAACCTGCGACGTTCTCCACGCAAAGGGCCTGAAAGAGGAGGTCGGCTGCCTGAACACCAAAATCCACGAGTTGGAGAACCAGAACCAGGCGCTGGCCTCGATGCTGGTGCACCAGCTGCGCAACGACGGCCCCGACTCGCCCGACGACGCCTTCCCCAAGCGCCATCGCCGCGGCGTCGACGCCTGCTCGCCGGGCGCCTCGACGGCGCTGTCGGTGCCGCGCATCAAGCACTGCAACTCCTTCAACTCCGAGGTGCTCGACGACGACGACGCCGACAAGCGGCTCGGCGCCGACACCGCCATTCTAGGTACATAACAATTCGTTCGTATCGATTGTAGGTGTGTATAACGTATTAGTTGCAGACACTCGACTGTCGTTCGAAGACAAGAAACGCCACCAGATCCTGACGAAGCTGTGGACGGAGCTGAAGGGCGCCGAGGTGACGCCGAAGCGGCTGATCGAGGCGCTGACGGCGGTCGATTCGGCGCTGTGGGTGCCGCCCAAGCGGCCGGTGTCGCTCAATCTACACCTGCCGGCGTTGCAGTCGACCAAGTTGCGGCGCGCCCGGCCCGTTCTCGCCCAATCGGCGTCGAAGAGCGAGGAGGAGACGACGGGCAACGAATCGCCGGAGAGCGGCAACCGCGACGAGGGCTACTCGACGATGTCGTCGGACGTGCAGGCCGACGTGACGCGCGGCTCCGGCGACGCGACGCTGCCGCGACGCGGCCTGGAGGACCTCAAGGAGGCCAGCGACGAGACGGACGTCTCCGACAATCGGTTGCTCGTCGCCGACAACAAGGATCCCGATATTTTGTACATTCCTCTTAATCTAATTAATCTCAACCAAAGGTAACTAAACTACCTACCAGTTTCTCGATTCATAGTTCAATCGATTCGATTCTTTCAGAAATAGTTTCCCTCCTAGTAAGGACATCCTGCCGTTCCAGCACATAATGAGAAGCTTCTCGGATTCGCACTTGTGCATCAAAATAACAACGGCTCCGTCGCCTTGTTACTCGTTTAGCTCGCCGATTTCGAGCAGTCCGTCGATCTTCCTGCTGGACATCACCGAGAAATCCATAAATCCGCTAAGGAGAACCAGAGGCACCAGCGCCCTATGGGGTAAGTGACCACCACCAAAAAAAAAAAAAAACCACGACCGTGCAACGTCAAAAAACCACCCATCAAAATTGCCTTGTGTGACGTTCGCCGCTCTATATCGTTCGCGAATTCGTTCCGCAGGCAACGCGAACTTGGAGATCCGCGCCGACGACGCGGCGGGCTCGCCGTCGTCGTGGTCGAGCCGCGCCGACGACCGCTTGGAATGCACCGCCTGGGACGCCGAATACATCCAGCACTGGCTGAAGCTGGACGAGACGCGGTCGACGTTGCAGCAACAGCAACGCGACATGCTCGAATTGGAGTACGACCGAGCCGACCTCGAGGACTGGAGCCTCAGCCTGTCCAACGACGACGCGCGCGACCAGTGGAAGAAGCACGACGCCTGCACGCCCGGCCAGATTTCGGTGGCGACGTTGCCCAGCATACAGGAGAACAACGCGCTGGAGCTCGAAGAGGACTCCAACGAGTGCTTGTGGAACAACTCCAGGTACACATCCAAACTAAATAGTTATACGACGCGTTTATTAACGTGGTGATGTTGTAGTTATATGATGGACAAAGAGGGTAGGGAACTGGTGACGTTGTTAATGGATTGTCCTAACGGAGAGAAGCATTGGCCTTACGTGGTGCAACAACAAACGTCGCCCGACAACAGCTGGTCGAGCGGAGGTTCGGATTGTTGTAATTCCCACGAACCCGAGACCTACTCCAAACGATCATCGGCCGCTTTGAGCGGCTCCAGCGACGACACCGGCGAATTGCCCATCATCGGAACGGACTTCACCAGAGACTTCTATCGGTAAGTCACCTGTCGCTTGCTTTTGGACATCTTCAGCAATGTTACCGCGGGATGGTCGTTTTTTTGCAGGTTGGTGAAATTCGAGAGCACCAAGAGCCTGGCGTCGACGTCGTCGCGCAGCCTGGGCGGCGCCGGGGCGGCGAGCGATAACGGCGACCGCGACGCCGTCGCCTTCCAGAACGTGCTGACGTTCATCGCCGAGCAGCAGAAGTACGCGAACGCGGAGCCGCGAAACGCCGGCGAACCGGCCAAGGAGGCGGAGGCGGCGCCGCCGCCGCCGCAGGGCGACGGCGAGCCGAGGTCGGGCGACAACGAGAACTACGTGACGTTGAAGCAACTGTGCGAGGAGTACTGCTTGAAGGAGAAGCAGGAGACGAGCATCAGGGAGAGCATCAAGCACGCCGAGGAGGTGTGCCTGGTGACGCCCATCGATTTGGAGAGCGAGAATTGCTCGAACATCACCGAGCGTCCCGTCGACATTTGCAGCAGCGTCAACGTGGAAATATCGTCGACGGACTACCAGATTTGCCTGTTGAAAGACGCCGACGACGCGAAGGAGGCGTCGCGCGGCGGCGGCGGCGGCGCCGGCGAATCGATGACGTCGAGCGTCGGTACGGCCGAGACCGTCGTTTCGAAAATACCGAAGAGGAAGGCCTACCAATCGCGCATACCCGTCAGTCCGGCTCGCATCATTGCCAACAACAACAACAACAATCAAACCAACAACAATAACAACAAGGAGAACGTCAAGGATACCAAAATACCGAAGAGCAAGATACCGCACAAGAACACCAAATCGAAACAAAAGGTAAATAATAATAATAAGCGAATTATAACTAACGAATTTACGGTCGATTTTATGGAGAGGATGCCAAATTTAAGTCGACTACGCTTAACTGTCACAAACGTCAATGTCAAAATGATTTTTGACGTTTAGTGTAAAGGTGGGAACAATTGATAAAGTATAGAGGTAGCGTTATTTACGTTACTATGTAACTGTTATTTTTCACATAAATTTGGCCATTTACGGTTGAATTCATAATGAGACAGAAAGAATACTTTAACTTTTAATGATTCTTAATTTAATTGATTTGTGAATTGGAATGGAGAATTCTTTTCAATAGTTCTATGGAGTTCAAGAGATGTATGTATAATACGGTTTATAAACGGTTTATAAAAACCGTTGTCGCCAGGACATGCCTCATATGTTTGACATATGTCAAAAGTCAAAAAGAAAAGACTGAATAAGGGTATCTGTTTCACGACTTCACTTTCATAAAATACCTTAACCATCTTAAATCTATTTTGATGTCTGAGTGAAAAATTTTGTATCTGAGTTTAATGTTCAAGTGTATCGAATGAAATTTTTGTAAAATCTTTTTCTTTAAAATTTCTTTTTCTTGATTTATACGGCTGAAAAATCTTAGTAGTCGAAGCCAGTAAAATAGAAGAAGAAGAATAAGTAACTGAATGCGTCAGTAACGCCAACTGCAATCTCTATTACGCGATACCCTACATAAAATATGATCGTTTAATCCGGTCGCTTCTTCTGCGTTAGAAAATCGTCCAGGCGCAACAGCAGGCCAACAACGCCCACCACGTCGTCACGTCGGAGAAGCTGCCGCAGAGCGCCGCCGGCGCGCTCAGCCACATCATCGAAGGCCCGCCCCATCGGGCGGTCAGCTTCCACGAGCGCGCCACCTCCAAGGACGTCATCGACGAGCTGAACCGCATGATCAAGAGCGGCGACGACGCCGCCATCGGCGCCGCCGACGCCGCCGGCAAGCTCGACCAGGCGTGCCGTCCCACCGGCTGGGTGCACGTCGAAAAGGAGATCGATCTCACCGATCCCAAGGTATTGACACTTGCTTACGATGGCCTTTATATACATACAGGGTGTCGCAAGGTTAGAACATGTATCCGAAAGTCTGTAGTTAAACCATGCATGTTTTAACGCTATTGCGACGCCTCGTATATTTGTTTACGAGGGTAATGCATAGAGTTGAGTTATTATATGATACAGGGTGTCCCTTGGCTCTATGGACGTAGCTCAGGACGGGTCTATTTTGTGTAGTGATGTCCTATACGCTTTGAGTCAAGGGACACCATGTATATTTGTTTACGAGGGTATTACGAAAAGTTGAGTGGTGTTTTTTTTTGTTTGGTTTAAAGGCGAGGGCGAATTTGTTGGACGTGATGATGGCGTCGGTGGGTTCGAGCGACTCGTCGCCGACGTCGTCGTGCGGCGGCAGCGTCGCCAGCGATTCCACGGAGGACCCGCCGGATTACGGGCACTTGCACAGGATCCACAAGTACCATCGGCAAAAGAAAGGTAAGGGTTTTTGGCTTTTTTTGCCCTTTAGATTGTTGCTTGATGGCGAACGGAGTATAATCCATTTGGGGTGAATTGGGATGAATGTACCTAGTCGATTTCTTTTCGTGAAGTGTTTGAGTTTTATAAGTAATAATTTAGGGAGGAATAAAACAGTTTTTTTTAAGACGAATTTCAAAGTTACTGTTTATTCGATTCTTCTTAAATGGATAATATTTGTGTGTGATTTTGATGATATTAATGATGAGTTTTTTTTGCTAATTTTGCGAGTATTAACTGAATTTCCAAATGAAGCCGGTGAAAAACGTTTGATAAAATGTTGAATATATTTTTTTTATTTTCGTAGTTTATTTAACGTTCTGTTGTTTAATTTTTCCATTAATAGCATGCTAGCATGTGAATAATAGTGAATTTTTATACCAAATTTTACGATAATTAATATAGTATTATACAGATAAGTGCAAATTTGTTTGCAATTCTATATGCATTAAACAAAGAAAGATTATTAAAATAGCAGAGTGCTTAAAGTGAGAAAGTTATGCGATCTCACAATCATCATTCTTTCTTCTTCCTTTATATGAGACAATCGAAGTTGTCTTTGTTGTGTTATAAAAATTCACTATTTTTTTTTTATTCTAAACGTTTGTTTAACAATGACCAATATACTACACAAAGATCCCAAACATTTTACTGAAGTACCTACAACGTCCGTCCGATCACCGTTTTTAACTATTTATTTATCTCTTTCTCTGCATAATTCTTCTTATTGGTCATTATTTTTTTTTTAATTTACTTCTTACCGTACTTTACAATCTCTTAGTAGCACTTGCGATTAGTTTATTCCTTCCACTTCCGTCGTTCTTTCATTCAGAGTTTGTTTACTGATTTTTGTTGTTTTTTTTTGGTTTATAATTTCTTCATTACTACCGTCGTGGCCTTCGACCGTTCGAGCGTTCGAAAACCACTTCACACAAAAACCTATCAGTAAGCAACGCTCGACGACGACGCAATTACCAGGTGCGCAGCAGTACCTCAGTAAAAATGTCGGGGATTTTAAAGCTTCTACTTCGGCACCCTGCACCCCCATGACGGAGACGACAGTGTAGCAAAACGTGTCTGGTCTGCTTGTAGCCAAGGCGACGAGGCCGGAGCCGGCCGTCGTCAGGGCGAGCGCGCCGCCCAATCGCCCTACCATCATCGGCCGCGCCGATTTCTTCGTGCGCTACGGCTCCAAGGAGATGGAGGCGGTGGCGTCGTTCGATTTCCTCGAGGAGTTCGCCGCCGCCGCCGCCGCCGCTGCCGGCGGCTCGACGCCCGACGACGACCCCCATCACGTGGAGGAGTAGACTGATGAGCGATGGGCTTGAAGGCGTCGCGGGGTTAGCGCGAACGCGCCGTAGGCGATGGATAAAAGTGTCAAAAAAGTTATTTTTTTTTTGTTTATTTTCTCGTTGCGCGAGATTGAGAGAAAATGGCGCATCTACAGTTGGTGTAAAATAAATATCGATGCACGTCGCATGTGATTTACGACGTCACAAGTAGGCAGTGTTGCCGAGATTTTATGGAGTTTGCAAAATGGAGGAATTTTCTGAAATTGGCAAATGGCAAAAGGACGAGAACAAATGGGAAATTAGATGAAAATTTCATGTTTCTAAACGGCGGATGTATTCAGGGACTCACTATAATTAATCAATAAATTCCTTTATCATCTGAAATATAATTTAACAGTGCTGGTAAAAAATTTAGTGTACAATTGACCCTTAAAAGAGTATATAGTGAAATGTCTGAGAAAACTTCGGAATCTGAATTATCTGAATTATCGAGCTCAAATTCTGCAGGTATTAATCTTAATCTATTTTGTGTATTTATTACAATGCTTGGCAATTATGACGACAAGTAGTGACGTGCATTGATATTTGTTTGCACCGACTGTAGTTTAACCGGGGATTTGTTCGTTCAAATCCTCGCGTGAACTGGAAGTTAATATTCGAATTGCTAAGACTGTTGAAACTTCAAAACTGCCTTCGTGTTTCGTTTGTGTCGAGCAATAACTCTGCGGAAGTAATTTTTAATTGGTCGAATTAATTGACACGGACGAAACGAAATCGTATCTTATCTATGTTAAGTCGGTACTTAATTTTTGAAATATCTGCGGACAAAGCGCGCGTAATTAACGCGATTAATTAGAGGCGCTTTGTTTGGTGGATTTTGCGAAGCTTGCCAAAAACGCAAATCTCAAATTTTGTACATAATAAACATACAGCGTTCGACTTTGTGGAGTATTAAATGTATTAAATTCGTTTGGAAAACTGATTATATACTCGTTTTTATTTGACGTACTGATTATAATTTATTGTAAAAAATTGAGATATTTATTTATTGTTGTTTTGTTAGTTTTTTTTGTTTGTAATTTATACACGTTCTTCGGAAATGATCGAAATGCAGCAATAATTCTCTCGGTATTCCTGCGGGGAATACCATCGTCTTTATACATATTTAATAGTTTCATTGGGTAGTCACGGAAAGGCGATTTTTTGATTATACAGTGAAACTATTAGGGAAAAGCTATGCTTATAATCTCGTCTTGAGGCGAATCCAATAAATAGTATTATAAATATTTGAGTTACTAATTGTGTATATGTACATTTTTTCGAGCCCCCCTCCCCCCGTAGTTTCTCGTTGTATTAGGGAAACGAAAAAAAATGTGTAAATTGTACTATTTATTATCAAAAAAATCTATCATCAAAGACAAATAACATTTTTTGGTTAGATTTAGATCGAGCTTAGCGATAAGACTGTACATACATGATATTTTTTTCCAAAAAGAAAATCTCCTATTAATTAGATTTTTATTAAAAAAAAATGGATAAAAATTGAACAAAAATCAAAGTTACGAATTATTAGTGGGTACAGTGGTTGTACATTGTGATATGGAAAAATTATATTCGTTGATAATCGTCTAAAACAAAGCAAATAATCGAGTCTGATTTAATTTTCGTTAAGTTTGTTATAACTGCTACTTTTCAATGGATTTGGCATCGCCGCCTTTTGATATTTTGTTTTCGATATTTGTGAAAATCAGACTTTTATTTGCTTCGAAAGTAAAATTTTGTCATCTTATACACAGTATTAACTTTTGTTTGTTCGTTTTCTAACTATCGATATCGTATTTTCATCGAAATATTGGTAAATGAAAGTTTATACAGTGTGATTTTCGGGCGTTTTATTGTATACAAAATGGCCTACCTATATTTGTATTTTAATAAACCATTAATTCGATTTCTAGCACAACGATCGAATTAATTAATTTATTGAATTTATTTTATTTGTTATCGCTATAATGAAGTTGTGTTAGAAATCGCTATTTATTAGAACGTATTTATGATGGTTTATTGAGATAAAAGATTACTATTACACATTTTTAGATTATGCATTATAATGACGTCTATATTGACCTGTGTGTAGAGTGATGTATTTTTATATAGGGTACTTATATATATTTAGTACAAATTTAGATTATGAATAAATACATTAATATTTATAACATCTATACAAGTGTTTTAATCTATTCCGAGAATTCTCATTGATATAAATCGAAGAACCTACTGCTTGGAAGTGATTCTTTGAAGCTGAATACCAGCTGAGGTAAAGGCCACGGAACTAAAAAAATGCAGATTTTGTCTTTATCTATTCGTTTGATTTTATGTTCACTTGAGCCTCACAAATTTCTAATATACTCTTTGGTAAACAAATATTTACTTAAATAATACAGAACAACTCACGACAAACTGAAATAATAAACTTTCTTTGGTTTCTAAATGACACAGCGGGACAGAAACCTTAGAACATAAAGTAGTTTTTTATGTTCTAAGACAGCAACAATTTTTTGGCAAATGACGGTTAATGGCCTCTTACATCGATTTTCGTCCTGTTCAGTTCTACAGCTAATATTGTGCCACTATTTTTTTTAATTTTTAGTATTACTCATTGTTGAGTCATTTATAAAATGATCGTTTATCATTATTGTCATCTCTCATTATATTCAAATTACGATACAGTTGTTGAAATAAAAACTTATTGTTTTTTCAAATTGATAAACAAAGGAATGTAACGACGAAAATAAATATGAATAAAAAAAAATGAAATACCTAGATGATAATATACAATAGATTTAGAAATAGTGCATCGGCACTAATTTTCTATAAATTAATTGTAAACCGATCGATGACCGTTGTTATTCGGTTTGCAATATTTGTTACAAGTTTACAACGTTTACAACGTTTTCAAAATTGCAATTTTGTGTTTTGTGCGCAACTAAACCAGAAACATCAACATTTCCTGATCTTCTTCAGAATTCGCCGAACCACAAAGAAAAAAATCGCTATGCTGAAATCATCATCATCATTAGTGATCATATTCCTGACGACACTTTCCATGGGAATAAATAACATTAGTATTCAGGAGTTTCCGAACAACGGTTATTATGCTGAAGACATCGGAACTTCCAGAGAACTTTCCCACTATCACCGACACATCGCACACGTTGATTTGGACAAATTGGAAGAACTGGTAAACATAATTGATGCCACTTATCACCAAATTCCTTTAAGTGCTTCCCATGTTCCCATTGGACATCCACTACAAGCACCTAATGAGCGAAGCAAGGGATAACCTACATAAAATTACACGAAGACAGAAAAAAGGTTTATTTAACATTCTTGGTACCGGCATAAAATTCATTACTGGAAACCCAGACAACAATGATCTGGAACTATTAACAAAACATATAACCGCTTTGGAATTAAAAGAAAACGAAGTCATAAAAAAATTAAATAGTGCTATATCTTATAGTCGATCTATTGATACGAGATTCAATAAATTAGTAGAGAAAATTAATAACAATACTCTTAAAATTTCGAATGCCATTAATAAGTTATCAAATGATTTTAATAGATACGTGGCTGATCTATAATAGATACGTGGCTGTTCACAATGCCATTATCAATCTTGATACCATTAATGAATTTCTGTTAAAACTCATTAGAACAATTTCTCTATCTCATTTGAACATTGCAAATATCGAACTATTCACATTAGACGAACTTAGACTTTTGAAAAATGAACTTCTCAAAATGCATTCTAGAACAGCCCTTCTTATTAACGACGAACATCCCTACGAACTCGTAGAATCATCCAAAGCTTTAGTTTGTGTTACTTCGAAAACGATGCTCGTAATATTGAAAATCCCGATTTTCCATCCCACCGCTTATCCCACCTCCAGAATTTACCCTATACCCAATAAGGATCACGTAATGATTTTGCCGCCTGCGAATTTCTTCACCAACAACAAATGGTACGAAACCTGCACCGGGGAATATGAATACGTCGTTTGTTTGAAACAACTTCAATCCAAATGCGAGATACCAAACGTACAAAATTGCACCAAAGCCATAATCACCGAAAATTTCTACAGAGAAACCGACAAAACAATTTTACTGGGCATCGTCCATCCGATAAAAATCCAAGGTATCGAAGTCAGCTCCAGCAGCCTCCTGATGACCGACGAACCGATCACCATCGACGGTAATAAGTACAACACGAAAACCGTTCAGGATCTGTCGCTACCGAACATCGTTCCCATCAAACTTGTGCCCGATAGCAAATTGGAACTCGAAAAATTGCACATTCCCGAAACTCACGGACGAATTGAACCGCTGCAGCCGTTGGACTTGAACTTCCTGCCGAAACTTTCAGCCGGCCTCAGCACCTCAGCGCTGGTTCTAATAATAATTATGCTGGTTGTACTTGTAACGGTTTGGAAAAGGGCGCAAATTTGCCAGTTTTTTTGTAAATCAAGAAGACGACCCGAACCAGACGGTCCACCCGTCCCCGTGCGGGACCAACGCGAACTCTTGGAAACAAGACGAATGATACGACGAATTTAGTAATTTCCGCTTGGTTATCCTACTCCATCAACACTATTTTTTTATAAATTTATTCTAAAATAATTACTATTGTTAGTTTGTGTGCAATCTTTGTTATAGACGTTTTGAAAGTTCAAATGTTTGTATTTTGTGTATGAAAATAAAAAAAAAACATTGTTCTCACGAGTGTAACTTTTCTACATTAAAAGCTAACAAATCACAGTAAGTAATACATAAACTGCATTCGCTACATTGTGTCAAGATAAAAAAAATAAATCTCGGAAACATCCTCTCGGTAACAGATATTCAATGCACAAAAATAAAATAACGTCAATCTCGAACTTCGAATCTCTAATCGTCACGTACACGACGGAACGCGTGGGAACCACAGGCATCTACGGGATTCACAAACTCATCGCAATCTATTTAAGTGCGTATGTAAGCGAGTAGTCGCCGGGTAACCACACAGTGCGCGCTTTATACTCTTTATAGTGAATACGATTCAACGCGGAATCAAAATGTTCATCCAATTCAAAATGCAGCTCTTCGCTTTGCTGGACGCGCTGTGCTTGCTGTTGAAGCGCATCCTATTCGCCTACAAGTCCCTCGAGGAGGCCGAATCCGAACCGAAAATCGTACCAAAAAGCGTGAATTACCACTTCACGCGCCAGTGCAACTACGAATGCGGTTTCTGCTTTCACACGGCCAAAACCTCGTACTTGCTGAGCCTGGAAGACGCCAAGGTGGGATTGCAGCTGCTCAAAGACGCCGGTAAATCGCTTCGCTTCACCATTAACCCGAACGTACTTATTGTAAATTAATTTCGCAGGTATGGAGAAGATAAACTTCAGCGGAGGGGAGCCGTTCCTGCCCAAGAGGGGCGCCCACTTGGGCGAGTTGGCCAAATTTTGCAAGAGCGATTTGAAATTGGAGTCGGTCACGATCGTTTCGAACGGATCGTTGATTACCGAAAAATGGTTTCGGAATTACGGCGATTATGTGGACATTTTGGCGGTTTCGTGCGATTCGTTCTGCGAGGAAACCAATAAAGTAAGAATCAATTATGAAATTGCATCAGCGAAGCTTTAATGGGGGATTTACAGGCGATAGGGCGAGGACAAGGCACCAAAAATCACATTGAACAATTAAAAAGGGTGAGAGATTGGTGCAAGAAGTATCAAGTATTGTTCAAAATAAACACGGTTGTTAATACTTACAATTACGAAGAGGATATGACTGAACAATTACTGGAATTAAATCCTATTAGGTAAGAATGTGGCGTAGTCTAAACGTTTAGGAAAATTCACGTAATTTTTCCAGATGGAAAGTTTTCCAATGTTTGCTGCTCGAAGGGGAAAACGTGGGGCCAGAAGCTCTAAGAAACGCAGAAAGATTCTACATATCTAATGAGTTGTTTAACGAGTTTTTGGAGCGCCACAAGTCGGTTAAATGCTTGGTGCCGGAATCGAACGAGAAAATGCAAAACAGCTACCTGATTTTGGACGAATATGTAAGCGAAACTGTAATCGAATTTTGCGGGATATTTATGGGAATATTTTAGATGAGATTTCTGGATTGTACGGCTGGTTCGAAGCAACCCTCCAAGTCCATATTAGACGTTGGGGTCTCCAACGCTCTGCTATTCTCCGGATTCGACGAGGCTATGTTCAAAAAACGCGGGGGAATTTACAAATGGTCCAAAGAGGCGAATAAACTGTCGTGGTAATCTTGTTCAATTAGTATTAGGGGTATATCATACGTATATTTTTGTATTAAAAGAAACTTTCTAAAAACAAACAAGTTTTATTTACATTTGTTCACAACAATTATTTATCATTGCAATCGAACTGGTTATATAAAAAATCCAATTTTTATTTATTATTTTCCCCTAATTCGTTTAATGGAATTTTTACTAACAAAATCGAGCGGGTATTAACGAAGCACAAATAAACAACACCGCAAACTCATTGAAAATTCTCATTCTAAAATTAATAGGGTGGACTTGTGGAATCTCAAAAATAGAACGAGGTGGCCTTTAACTTCTAATTACAACAACCACCTAATTTATTTTCTATCCATTTAAATCAAAAATACTAGTGCGCACCGAAACGCAAATGAAAGATGTAAAACAAATCGAATAAATTGTAATATAATTCAGTATAACTTCTTAAATATAATCGTTAAATCTATCACAAAACGTAGGCTACTTTTAGATAGAGGTATAAGTTCCAAGTGTCAACAAACTTAATCCAATCGTTTAGAATAAAATAGGTAAATAAATAAATATTCAATTTTCTCCTCGCTACTAACAGCCGCCGCGACAATACCAAATCCACAGCGTCCCGCCGATTCTAGTGGGCCAATTTGAGGTAAGCCTTCTCGAACAGCTCCAGCTCGTGCGCCAAATAATTCGCCTTGTTCCTCAAAACCTTCGCCCTGCTGCCGGCCGTCTCCAAACAACTCACCTCGCCCTCCAACTCCTTCAGTTGCTTGTCCATTTCAGTCGTAGCCCCGTCCACCATTTGACACAATCTACGAGACACACACCGGCCAATGAAATCGAAAAGGAAAAGCACCAAAAACTCACCTAGCAAAAGTACCGCTCAATTCCTGCTGCACTTGATGACTGCAATTGGCCGACGTAAGATCGATAATCATCCGTAGTTTCTTCGAAGCGTGCTGAACGTACTGCTTCTTGAAGGACTTTTCCTTGGCTTTGTTCGTCCACGTCAGGCGCTCGTAGAGATAGAGACAGCTGTAGATCGCGCCCGATACGGCTATCACTCTCCAACCGATGGTTTTGAACAGGAAACCGGCCACCACCAAGCAGCCCATCGTACCTTGCGAAGACGCCCCCATTACGGCCAGTCTCGACAACAACGACCAATCCTCGATGGAAGGGTGGCTGTAGACGAGCCTACCGTCCACGTAATCCGTCGGAGTCGACGGGATGTAATTCTCCGTGTGATTTTCCCTCTTATTCCGCAACGTCAGGAAATTAGCGCCTCTACCGGCGTACTTTTGAATCAAACTCATTATACCCCAAGAAAACCTACAAACAAACCGATTAGTAAACGATCACCCGATTACATTGTACAATTCACCTAAATTCCAAATCCTCCGTAAAATCGGCGCACAAATTATCGCAATTCAACCGGTAGAGGATCTCGAACGGCTGCCGGCGCGGCAACACCAAGTTGCCCGACATTTTGTGATTCGGCGACACCAGCGCCTCCATCTTTTCGGTCATCTCGCGCTGGCTGGCCTCCATGTTGAGGGCCAGCGCGGTCGACAGGCGGGCCCGAAGGTTCGAACCGAGCCCGGTCTCGACGTGCAGGTGCAACTCCTTCTTGTAGACGTTCAACACCAACGGCTCGGGATGGAAGGGCAGGTTGAATTCGTCCACCAAGGTGCTCAAGCGACGGATTTCCTCGCTCAGAGCCTTGGAAACTCTTGATAAAAACGATATAATTTAATATATAAAATGGTTAGTTCGATCGTGTGTACCTTTGCTCGACGTCTTCGACCATGTTGTGTATCTTTTTCTTCATTTCTTGCGTCACTAACATGAGCTGTTGCTCGGTGTAGTTGATCTTATCGTTCACTTCTTTCCTTTCGGATAGTTTCTGTTCTTTCAATTTCAACGCGTCGTTGTATATGCCTTCTAACAAATCGCGTAGTTCGCTGCAAGAAATTTCAACGAGTCAAGCTAGCCGTAGGCCTACATAGTAAAAGGCCGCGATCGAAACTTACTTCGCTATAAACTTGCCGCGTTGCGAGTGCTGCTCGAATTTGGTTTTCACCGCCGACTTCGATATGCACTCTTCGAATTTCTTCTCGAAATCCTGGAATTCGAAGTACCTCGTTTGGAAGCCTTCGGTGAGCGGAACGGAGACCGGCTTGCCCTCGGACATCCTGGCTTGCAGCACCTCTTTGGCCGATATGAAGAAAATTCGTTCTTCGGCCTCCTTGGGCGTGCAAACTTTCAATTCTTTCACCAGAAAATCGATGGCGCGCTCCTGGTGTTGCTTGCGTACCTACAAGTGCGTCGTATACAGGGCGTTTTATCGACACGCGGCGATATTTTATGGATTATTTCGCGTGATTACACTCACCTCTTCCTGCTCGTTGCAATGCTTATGCGCAGAAAAATGATCGTGTTAATTTAACCGAACGATAACGAGTAACAAAGCGGCTCGAAATAAAAATCTAATAAGCAATGCAAGGCAAAAAAATCGAGGTGTAAAGTGATGGGATATCGTACCTGATCCAAAAATTCGGGTTCCGAGGCCGACGCGTCCCATCTATTGTTCAAAATAAATATGTTAGGTTTGGATAGCTTGGTCGATACTTTGTGAAAGAAATTCTTCTCCTGCAAATCCAACGGTTTCAGTTTAATTCCAGTGAATTTTGGCATAAGTAATTATATTTACCGTCACCATAAGGGTGGATTCTGCGTTAGCTACCAATACAAAAACATCGGCGTCTAAGCAATGTTTGTCGATCCATTCGTCTAAATTCGGGGTGACATCTACGCCGGGGGAATCCACGAAAACCACATCGTCCCTAAGCAGAAGGCATCTGGAACGATATAGAAATTAATAAAACTTAAACCAGGGTATTCGAGGATATTTTTTTTACCTATTTTTCGGCCAAAACACCTTCACCAACGACGATTCGTTGAGTTTCTCCTTGCAAAGGGCGTGGGCTAGTTGCCCCACGGATTCCACTGCGCAATGTTCCTCGGAACCCTCCAAAACCAAGTAGGGCTCATCGGATGGACATCCCTCGACCTAGCACATTAATGCAGTAGTTAACTTTGAATATATGCTTGTTATAAGAATGTTTACCTGTAGGAAACAATTCGTAGTGTGCCCGATACCGCTGGGCAGAATTTTATCCCTAAGCATGGCGTTGATAACGGAACTTTTGCCGTTGGATGTTCTCCCGAAAAAGGCCACTTTCATGTGATCCCTTTGCAAGACATCTCTAATGCTGTGCACCTTACCGACATACTCCACGATATTTCGTACTTGATCTTTATTCACAATTTTACCCTCTTTCTCGACTTCTGCAAAACCGATTAAATGCTATTTAAAAACGATTTTATTGCGAGTAACGGATCGATTTACCATACATATACTCCACGGTGTCCTTGACGTACTCTTCGATTTCGCCGAAAATATCGTTGATTTTCTTCTTGGCTTTGACGAATATCTGCAACGGAGAATTATCTAGCGGTACGCGTTTGCCTCGGTCTGTGAGGACGGCCGTTACGGGGCCGCGGTTGTGGGGCCCGTCGCCTGACATTAGGGATATCGTGCGATTTACATAAGCAGCCATGACATGCGTGCTAACAATGCTCTATTCGGTTTTTTTTTCGACACTTAGCATGCAGTTGCTATCATTCGAAGGAACTGAAACAAAAAAAATAAATAAAAATTACAACGACATAAAAAGCTGTAAATAGTGTGTGAATAACGAATGAATGTAAAATGAATATACGATTGTTATGCTATTCCACTCCACAAAGCTGTGAAAAAAACTTGTCGTATTTATAGGAATTTCGTAGTTAAACATGCATTTTAGGAAATTAAAACAATTATGTATAACCTGGTTATTCGTAGGCATTATCCGATCATATGTTGTATTTGGAATACCTGATAAAAAATCCAATGTACCGTTACTATTACTATAAATAATCGTAATCTTACCAAATTGAATTATGTTAATTATCCTATTTTTTACCGAATGTGTATAAAATTATGGGTAAAAATAAACTTGGCAGACTTCACCAATCTATGACATTGAGAATCAAAAATCAATCTTTCGATTGTTTTGCAATGATAGTAATATTTACAGATTATGTAGTACCTTCGATATATGCGATTTCATGATGTTTTGGTCATTATCGTAGATTACGTAATTAAATAAAACGAAATATTAACTACAGAAGCACGAGTTTCATATACAAGCAAATTACTCAATAAGATTTGACAAATCTGTCAGTCACCTGTCAATGTTCACGAAACAGAATACCTACTGGTAGTTCATTTGAACTCCTCCCGCAACCACAACTGTCAATTTTTGACAGTGACAGTAATAAGCAAGTGACATATCTTTTAATCTATTTTCTCAACTTTGCCTACCCCTTATTTTTAATTATTAATTACAATAATTAAATCAAATTATCCATATACTTTGTACAGTAAAGTATTGAATTAAATCTCACAGTTTCAATGGCGTGTAGTGGTCAAACGAGTTCCAGCATCTATTAAAACGTAGGTAATATTTAATTTCTTACATAATTCTATTACAGAATAGAAGTGAAAGTTGTAATTGGATCATTTGCAGGTTTAAAGATGCTGTTGAATGAAACCGAGCCCTCTCAGTATTTTGAAATACCCCCGAATTGGATTTACAGAGGGGAAGGCAATTGCAATGTAGTATTATCTCTGCCGCAATTGGGGAAGATTCTCAGAATACGGAAAACCGGCCGACCCAAATCCTTTATAGGCTGGCTGGTGAAATGGTTAAGTGATATTTTAGACTGGCTTTACGGTAAAGGCATTACAGAGGAATTGAGAGATCTCCAATTTTACTCCACGGTAATGAGACCTTTAGTGGGCAGAAAGTACACATCGGAGGCTTGCCAAGTCATTTTGAATAAAACGGAAGTTAACACGTTAGAAAACCAATTGCATAAATACAGATCAGGTAATTTTAATTTATATTTCATAATATATTTCGCGTTTTTACGTATTCTATTGCAGATTTTCGGAAGCACAAGATTTTACAATACGGCAGAGCGTCTTTGTTCGATGACTTCGCATTTATACCGGAAAATGACTACAATTATCTACCATTTATCCTCTCCGATGACACGTTTGCCATTGAACTAAAACCGAAGCAAGGTTGGAGGCCGTTGAGCGAAAAACACTTTCCCGTTTGCATATACTGCATGCACCAATACTTAAAGGTAAAAGGCCGCTACGTTGCGTTTTAAAATGCACTTATTAGTTTCATTGTAGCTGGAGAAGAAGAAGATCAAAGTCCTCAGCAAGTACTGCCCCGAAGATCTGTTTTCCGGGAACGAAGGGAGAATGTTGCGTGCCATAAAATCCTTAATAGAAGTGCCTCAAAATAATCTGCGTATATTCAAAAACGGTAATTTGATATACGGGGACCATTTGAAAACGAATTTCTCGAATATTGTTGAGAATATTTTCGATAACGGAGAGAATTTAGAACAGTATGTGATACATTTCGAAAGGTATCCAGTGAATAACGCAACGAATTTTTCAGATTAATAGAAGAATTTTGCCACTTGATCAGGAAATCATTAACGACGAATTTCATGAATGTGGATTCCACCGAGCATTGCGAGGAAAAAACTTTCTGCGAATGGAATAAAATCATCCAGGAATCGAGCGCTAGTAATGCTCTACCGAAAAACAGCGTATTGGAGAAAATACTTTCGATTCAAATGCTCGATACCGAAGGCAGCGATTACTACTGTAAATTACTGCAGAAAGCGCAATTAGAAGACTGGAATTACGTGGATATGTTGCTGGATAAAGTGACCAACGAGCACATTTGCATGAAGTGCACCATCATGAATTTGGGAAATAACAGTAGATCTGAGCAAGAAATCGACCTTGCGTTTATTCCATATTTAATATCAGCTATCGCGAAAGATTGCTCGTTGATGATTACTTTGAAAAGAATACAAGAAGATATCAGGTAACAACGATTTATTTATTTAATTATGCGTATTTGTAATAAATTTATTTTTGTAGTGATAATCTCGAAATCAAGAACATCATATCTACTAATTATGGACATTTCCTAGTAAACATAGGGGTTTTTGATTTGTATCCCAAACGTTTAACGTCCATCAGGAAACACTGTCAGAGGAATAAAGAAGTTTACAAGGCTTACTTAAAGGCTACGTCTAGATTGAGTTCGATCGAAAATTTGAAATGATTGCTCTTAAGTTTTATTTACAATGGGTATTTAGGATATTTGTTTACGGTATTTTTAAATGAGTATTAGTATTATTATACATCAGTTACGGTGCTTTTAATGGGGTAACTGAGGCTGGAACATTTCAGCTTATATACATATTATATTGAATAATTAGTTTTTACATGAATATGAGGACTTGGAATTTTTACACTGTGATAAGAGATGTTTTGATTAGTCATGATTTACAAGTATATACGTTCTTTTTTGTTAGGATATTTCGAGTAATATGTTTAATGGATTATTATATGCTCCTTTCGCCAAATATTGAAAATATATTAATCAATTCTATACCAAAATTTGTTACTTTTATATGTTTTTAATCATAAATAGATAATTATACATATACTTATGGATTTTATAAATAAATATGTTTACCTGCTCTTTGGTGAGTCGTTATTTTGATATTATTAACTAAAGGTGACTCTTTAAATTTTAAATAAATTGAGGAAATTTGAAATATTCAAAAATATGTTAAAGTATAGCCAACTCCACAGTTTAGTAATTAACATTTTTAACAGTTGGTACTCCTACATAAAAAAGAAACACAAACAAACTATTTGAAACAGACAGAGAAAGATACATTTATTAAAAATTAAATAAGCGTCGTAATAAAAAAACACCGTGTATGTTTTTATTTTGTTTTAATTACAGTTGCTTGGAAAGTGACATGAAGTTTCGGTTTACGAAACAAAATTTTATATTATTTTTTTTCGAGTAACAAATTTCAAAACTTAACCTAACTGTCATTCGGGTACGTACAGCGAATTTAATTATATTTAAGTCGTTAAACAACTTAATTTTAAGTAATAAAACACTGTGTTATGTTACAAATTAACCGGATCCGGCCTTTGTCTAAATTTAAATTATTTAATCGCTTTTTTCCAGTACCTGTGCAACATTCCTACTGTCACACTCTGAATCCAAAAATGGGTATGCCTCTAGTAGAAGTAGTGAAAAAACTGAAAGCCTACGCCCCGTTGGACTTGGCAGAGCACTGGGACAACGTGGGGCTGTTAATAGAACCCTCATCGGGGGCCACGGTCAGCACAATCCTCGTAACCATCGATCTAACAGAAGATGTGGTCGATGAAGCCATCGAAAACAAAGCCAGGCTTATTATCAGCTACCATCCCAATATATTCAAGCCTTTAAAAACCATTAGCCAAGGGTAAGTACCGGATGATCGATAAGTAAAAGACCACCTGATTATAAATTAATTCGTAGGCATTGGAAGGAGCGGATAATTTCGAAGTGCATTAAAAACGATATTGCGGTATTCAGTCCTCATACGACTTGGGATGCCATGCAAAACGGGGTACACGAATGGCTGGCCAACGCCTTTCAATACTCAGAGAACAGGCCTATAATCGAAAATAAAGATTACGTTGGCATATACGGAGTAGGACGGTATATTACATTAAACAACTCCATCTCGTTGAAGAACGCTATAGCTTTGATTAAGGATCACGTGGGGGTGCCTTATGTACGAGTTGGTGTAGCCAAGCATAGACATTTAGGTGAGAACAACACTTAATTGCTAACTTCATACTAGTACTGATAATTTACTGATGGTTTTATTTGATTGAAGATTCTCCGATATCCACTGTGGCGATTTGCGCTGGTTCCGGAGCTTCGGTTCTGAGTGGAATACTGGCCGATTTGTACTTAACGGGGGAAATGCTGCACCACGAAGTGTTAGAGGCTACTCAAAACGGGATTAACGTGATACTGTGCAATCACAGCGACTCGGAAAGGGGCTTCTTAAAGAAGTTCCAGGAAACGTTCAAGCACGAGGGGTTGAATGTGATTCTATCGAAGATCGATAAAGACTGTTTGGAGACGATGTAGACGTGTTTTCGAATTCTCTGTTAGCGGCGATATGTTGGATTTTAAACTATTTTATAACGTATAAATAAATTTATTTGTGCTACTATGGTATGTGACAAATTAAAATCGGTGAGGTCTGATTGGTCTTTCTACGTCGTATAATTCAGGATCCTGTAAGAATATTGGTTCTTTGGTGTAAAAGCCCATCATGCCGGAGTTTTGGGCCTTCTTGATTTCAGTTTCCAATAATTCCTGTTGTTTTTTGCACAATCCGGTGATGTGCCTGCCGTAAATTTGGCCTGTGTAAGACGATTGAAATTGCGATAACAGCCTGATGTTTTTGTAATCGACCACTATCTTGTGTTTGCATAAAATACATTGTGGTTTTTCTTTTTCGAACGGATTCTCCATATCGAAATTCGGAACATCGGCATCGGTGCTGGCACTTCGTATAATGTACCCTAAAAATTTATCACAATGTATTTAAATATGGTTAATTAAGTACTTTGTACTCACTAAGGGGCATTTTCGGGATTAACCGTTGAATTAACAATGTATTCATGATTTAAATTATTTCAAGCAATTTTTATTTTGGTAAAAAATAGGTTATTTTCTTCCCTCAAAATAAAATGACAGTTATTTGTCAATACTATCAAATTAAAAAAAAGAAGAACTGTCATGGTGGTTTGTTTTTGTTATTATTATTAGGAAAATCTGTCAAAAATGTTAACAAAATGGACTGCGAAAAGGGCAATAATTTTTGACGATTCGTTTTTTCGATAGTTTAGACTTGTAAAAATTACTAGCGAGATGTTCCACAAAGCCGATAACGCGAAAGGAAGTTTTCTGGAGCAAACGAAAGCAGCGCGAGAGGAAAGAGCTTTTGAAAAGAAACGAATAGCGTCTGCAAAGTTAATACAAGCCCACGTGAGAGGTTGGTTATGCAGAGTCCGCTTTATAAGGAACATATTGTAAGTTGTAAGTAACCTAATAGCATTATTTTTTATAATCGGAATGCTTTGCAGAGATGACTTCGATTCCGCATTGCCATCGGTTCCCGAAGATACGACTAAATTGCAATTAAAACCAGCAAACGAAATCTTCCAGCAGTCTCTAAAATTGCTGATTATATGGAGAAAAGACAGAGACAACGAGAGATTCGCTAATTTCTGCCGTTACATCGTAACTACACTAGATAGCGATTCACCCAAGTACAGTTACGTAGGAGTAGCCTTAAACAAAGAGAGCGTTATCAAATGGATATCTCACATGAACGAAATATTATGGATATGTTGCCAATATTTAAACGACCTTAAACCCGAATTTAATAATGATATGAAATTAATCGTTATGTATTTGCACGTGCTGGTTTCCTTCACCAACACAAACACATGGGCCGTATTGAAAAATAAGAACATGGAAGTCCTGCGGCCCGGGATGAATAATTTGTGCTCCAATATAATGGGACAACTGGTTCATAAAGGGTTCTATTTGATTGTAAAGGTAAATAGTTTAAATTGGCTGCGTACCGGTATTAACAAGTACACTTTTCAGGATCTCTTGTTAAAGGGATTGGGACGCATCAAAGTAACATTCAAAAACATATCCTTATCAGCCATTTTGACCATCTCCTTGAGACCTTTAGTAGCTGCGAATTACTCTGACAAACTAATGACGATATTTTTGATAAACATTTTATCGGTACCGGGTCTCGTGTACCACCTCCAAAATTTATCACCAGAAGTAAGTCGATCGATTCCAAAAGATTTTTACTAAAGTATATCGTTTTTCAGTCTATTTCAACGTTAACTAACCACAAAATATTCGCCAGGAGTCTGGAATTGTTATCTAGTCAACAATCGATGCGGATCGTATTCAACACATTAGAAGGCAGTTACGCTCTATGTCTATTAGCTAATTTAATCCAATTGGCTTTTATCGAACGACATACTACACTCAGAGCACTCTATTTCCCAACGTTTACAGTAAACAAATTAGTTATTAGTTAATTAAACGAGTTAATGGTTATAATTATTTTAGGTAGTAGTAACCAGTCTACTAGAAAGTTGCCAAAACTACGTAGTGAGCAAACAATCGACCCTGACGCACTGGCACCCGGTGCTGGGCTGGTTCTCCAAGGCCATGGACCCCTCCCTGCACGCGGCCATTCCCCACGTGAAAATCCAGCTGCACTATCTCTGGCACGCCGAGATCATACAAATCCTGCTCGGCGATTCGCTGTGCGAGCTGGTCGCCGGCGCCGAGCCGCCCGTCCAGATGCCCAGTCCGACGCAGAGCGCCGCCGGCGGCGCCAACTTCTTCAAGAAAGTGCTGGAGTGCAAGAGCCACAAGACGGCCGTGCAGAAGACCTACAGGACCCTCGGCAGCCCCGACGTGCACAGGATCGTGTTGATTTGCTCGCTCTATCACACGGCTTTGAATACTTTGAGCCAGCTGCAGCTCGATATACTTACCGGTTAGATATTCGGTGGTTCGATGGGGGTTTGGTAATTGTATGTATTTTTTTTTTTGTGTGTAGGTCTTTGTTACCAGAATTCGGTGTTGTACGATTTGTGGTTGTTTATATGCTCGTTGGGGCCGAATTGCGGCATCAAACCCTTCTTGGATCACTTGGCTATAAACACAAAATTTTCCGCGCCCGAATTTCAAATGCTACAATTATTCGCCGATTGTATGTCGCACTACGTTACGTAAGTACTCTAATAATTCATTTACTACTAAAGCATTCTGTAATTCATAGTATACTCGACGATATGGAGATGTACGAGCACCAAACGCCGTTCAAGCTCTCCGATTTCGTGGTGATGTCGACGTTCCTCAACAACTTCCTCTACAAAGCCATATCGGGCAGCTTGTTCGGTAAGCCTTCCTCCGCTATCCCGCGCTCGACGCTCACTAATCTCGTTTCCATCGAAGACTTCAAAACGATCAGCACGAATTCGCTGTTCAATTCGCTGCACGCCGTCCTGATGCTGTTGTACAGGCGCGACTGCCGGCGCAACTACACGCCCCCGGGCCACTGGCTGATCAAAGACGTGAAGGTGTCGGCGTTCGTGAGCGACCTGGAGAAGGGCCGGCGGGCGCCGCAGCTGCTCCTGCAGACGATGCCGCACGTCATACCGCACGAGGACCGCGTGCGCCTCTTCCGCAAGTACATCAACAACGAGAAGACGGTGCTGGGATTGACCGAGTCGGCATGCGCCTCGCCGCAATCCACGCTCATCACCGTACACAGGTAGCGCCTTCGTTAAACGATTAATTCGATGGATTAAATGGTTTGTTTCGCGGCAGGAATCGTATAGTGGAAGACGGTTACAGGCAGCTGGCTTTGTTGCCTTCGCAGTCGCTTAAAGGCGTTATTAGAGTGAGGTTTATCAACGAGCAAGGTCTGGACGAGGCGGGTATCGACCAAGACGGGGTGTTCAAGGAGTTCCTCGAAGAGAGCATCAAAAGAGTGTTCGATCCGTCGTTGAATCTGTTCAAAGCCACCAGCGAGGAGAGATTGTACCCGTCGCCCACGTCCAGCGTTCAAGACAACCACCTGCAGCTCTTCGACTTCGTCGGAAGGATGCTGGGTAAGTTCGAACGGCGTTATCGATCGCGATTTTTTATCGAGTTGACTACGTAGGCAAGGCGATCTACGAGGGTATAGTGGTGGACGTGCCTTTCGCTTCGTTCTTCCTCAGCCAGGTGTCGGGGCAGACGACGCAGGTGTTGTACAGCTGCGTGGACGAGCTGCCGTCGCTCGATCCGGCGCTCTACCGCAGCTTGAGCTACGTGAAACGGTACGAGAGCGACGTGGGGGATTTGGATTTGACGTTCAGCGTCGACGAGGACAGCATGGGGAAGATCGTGACGCACGAGCTGGTGCCGGGCGGTAAGGCGGTGCAGGTCACCAACGAGAATAAGTAAGTGTATGATGGTTACAGAGATGGAATTTGTTGGATGTTTGTATGTTTTTTTTTTTAGGATAAATTATATACATTTGATGGCGCATTTTCGTATGCACGTTCAGATTAAGGACCAAACGGCGGCGTTTATTAAAGGGTTTCGATCGATTATAAACCCTGATTGGTTGACGTTGTTTTCGACGCCGGAGGTAGTAAATCGTGTAAAATACTTGTAGATTTGTTTCGAGCAAATATTTGTTTATGTTTCAGCTACAACGACTGATTTCTGGCGATAACGTGCCGTTGGATTTGCGGGATTTACGGAAGAATTGTCAGTATTACGGCGGTTTCCACGATTCGCATCGAGTGATAGGTTGGCTGTGGGACATATTAGAAAAGGACTTCAACGAAGAAGAAAAGGCTATGTTTTTAAAGGTTACTCCTTATGCAAATTCTCTAATATACAGTACTAATGCATTCGTTATATTTAGTTTGTGACGAGTTGTTCGAAGCCTCCGTTGCTGGGATTCGCGCATTTAGAGCCCCCGTTTTCCATACGATGCGTGGAGGTGGGCGACGATGAGGATACTGGAGACACCATCGGTGAGTACGCTCTAGGTAATTGTATACTTACGTAACGATTATGAAATTGCAGGTAGCGTGATTCGGGGATTTTTCACCATACGCAAGAAAGATCCGCAGAATCGATTGCCCACGTCGTCGACGTGCTTCAATCTGCTGAAACTGCCCAACTACCAGAAGAAGAGCACGTTAAGGGAGAAGTTGCGGTACGCGGTGACGTGTAACACCGGTTTCGAATTGTCTTAGATTCGACGGATTGTAGATAGAGGTGTTGCGATGGTAGATTTAATTAGATGTAGTGTTCGTAACGGTCTGACTGTTCGAGGTAATATTAGGTACGGAATATTTGGATTTGATATTACTGATTCTCATATCATCATTAACCACTTGCTGCTCGATTTTCACGTTTGTATTGCGAATTGAAATCGAGTTAGTTCATTTTTTTTCTTGTCAGATGTAGCGAAATGGCGGTTTTAATTAGGATTTTTTAATTGTTCGGTATATTTTAATCGAAAATTCGTTGATTGAATTTCATCTCGTGTGGACCAAATTCAAATTGATTTGTTTGTGATAGTTACGTCTCTACAAATTGTTTTAAAATGGGGAAAGTGCAATTTTTTTTATTTTATTTACAAAATTTAGTATATCGTAAGTGTTCATCTAGCGGGAATTTATTCTTTGTATATTGAATAAACGTTCGAAGTATAAACCCTATCAATATATCGAAATGTGATTGTTGTTTGTACGTATGTATATTTGTAAAAATAAAATTTCCTTATTTATTTTTCTTAATTTTTCTCACCAATATAAGTAGACCTTTCGAATTTTAATTACGAATTGTTCGTTGAGATACGAATACCTTATGGTGTGAGCGGATAGTTGCGGGACATCCTGTACATATTTTATTAAAAAAACATTGAAATTAAATTTTAAATTAACTCAATCAGCTGTTGATTATTTTTCGACGCATGCGTAACCCTAATCTTTGTTACTAACCGACCGCTGTTGCCGATATTATTAATAACCAACACAGAAGATTTTTAAAATTTGTTGTTTTTAATTATTAGAATCTAGGAGTATTGTTTCTCGAGTAGTTGAAGCTGATGTTTTAATTCAAAAATTATTTCGATATTATAATGACAAGTGACAGCTAAGTTATAGGAAGAAATTATTTTAATCGAACAGAGAAAGAAGATAGGTTTAACGCGTCGGAGGAACGGCGATAAAAGATGTTCGTGAAACCGAAGCATTTTGCGGGATTTAAATGCGGCGTTGGCAACACCGCCGATCCAGCGCGAAGCGACGCCGGCCAATGCGATGCGTCGTAGAATTCGACTTATCGAATCGAGCCGAGCAGGAAAAATCAGTCTGCAACGAGCTGCGACAGGGGCCGTTTCGTCACAGACCTCAACGAAACGATAACATTTTTCTTTTTTTTTGTTTGCCCAGCCGTCGCCGTCGTTTTGAGTTTTCGACCATCGAACGTCCAGATCCGCAACGTCCACGGCGGGGCGATGTCGCAGCTGAGCAGTTCGTCGAGTTCGAAGCGTACGAAATCGCCATTTTAGCGTGGTTTAATGTTAGTCGAAATCGTGACAGAACAACGCTCGGCCGTATCTGTATCGCGTTATTCACGTAGTGCTTTATTCGGGAACTCGAAATCCAAGGTTGATGGAACCGAAATCGAGACCGTGCGGACGTCAATGTCAGTGCGATTAATCGAACGATGCGAATGCTAGGACTCGCGTAATAGGAAAAGCCATCCCCGAGAGAACCGCGCGTTGATATATTATCGGGACAGTGGCTCGTCGAACCGGTCGAAGGCATATTTGATGGCTGTGGCGGTTCCCAACTGCCACTCGAGGGTGTCGATGTCCGTCTCCATGAGCATAATGCAGGGTACAGCCGGGCCGACCGCGGGAGCAGGGCAACAAGGGGGACTCCACGGGGCCCAGCCCTACTACCATCCGCAGCACGCCGTGGCACCGGCCCATACGCAGGAACAGGTCCAACCGGATAGGCCCATCGGGTACGGAGCCTTCGGTGTCGTTTGGTAAGTTCACCACAGTGTTCTTTCTTTTTTTTTTTTTTTCGTTATTTCTTTTTCTTCTTTCGTTCCGTTGGGATCGGTTGTTTGGGGTCATTGGCGTAGGCGGACCTAATTTCGACAAATTTATTAGATACTTATCTGAACTAAAAACGTTATAATGGCCGTAATTTAATACTAAAGTATTCGTTCGAATAGTTGGCCGTATAGTTCCAATTTGACATTTGACACACACGAACATAATTTTTAAATTATTTTACAAATACATACCTACATGAAATTTGCAATATATTTGAATAATTAATAAACCTAGTTTTCGAGAAATTTCAGTTTTCTAAAACCCATTTCAAAAATACAAGAGTAACACGAATTGGCTGTTGACCTTTAACTTTTTGACAGATGTTTGACGTTAATAATCATAGGCGTCAATTTTTATTATTTAGAGAAAATTTATTTACTCATAGCCAACGCGACTCGATCAACACGAACCCTAAGATAAATGTTTACGACCCACAAACGAAATACAATCGTTTTGTTGATAATTTCTTTTCAAAAAATCGCATTAGTAGCTATTTTGAAACCTTCCTAATGAACAGTCTCAACGATAAATCCAAAACACCGTCGAGCTCCTCTAATGGCCGATTAAACAAGAATTTTCGACCACCGTCTTCTACCTGGTATATTTTCTAAATTTGTTAGCCGTTTAATTACGAGCAGGTAAAATTCACCGAACCCAAAATTTTATTCCATGTACACCTCTACCTGTCTCGGTTTCTTTTGATGTTTTACATTACCCTCCTCTAACTGTTCATTTTAATCGCTTTAATCCCTTTTCTATTGGAAACCCATCGTTTTCTTGGATAAGCCACCGCTCCTACCCGATTCGGCACCTACGGACCCTCGCGCTCGAGCCGCGTCTATTATCACAAGTCTCGAGCGAATGGGAAGCAGTTAGCGGTTAATTAAGCAATTAATTAAATTTAAACAAGAACGTTCGTTGTTACGGGGTCGATGGTACAGAAGGTGCTCACGCTCGCTCGCATATACACATACAATTACGCTACACCCGTACGGGAGAGTCCTTGAGTGCGTTTAAAAACGGAGAAGTTCATCGACCTAATTAATATCTTGGCGATATGTGGTCTAAATTTATATGCCATATACTCGCATTTAATCGCTGCGTGAAGTTAGCGCTGCAAAAAACTGTTCACGTTTTGACAGGTTATTCTAACCTCAATATATCATTGTCGCAGTGACGTTTGCGAAGATTCGCATAGCCGACTTAGATGTGATACGGGTGAAGTTACCCGTGTTTCTTGGGTATTTCGCAGTTTACCCGGGTAAACCAAGGTTTAATCGTTTATGTTGTTTTATCCGTTGCAGATATATGATTTCTGTTTGTACAATGGCGAATTAGATAATGGAGAAACCGGAAAATTGGCGTGTATATACGCTAAAAAAATATCCGAAGGCAGCTAACCTTGAAATGGAGGAATAATAAAGTAATGTAAAAATCGTCGAGACGAAGATATGCAATAGGAATTGACACAGTGACCGACTTTACCGGCAACGCTTATGTCACAAAACGCAACCGTGTTTAGTAGATTCGACGATAAATTTTAATGGTTTACGGTCGGGTTTTTTTTTTTTTTACTTCTTCTCTTGCTTTCAATACTCTCGTTAATTCGCCGCGTTTTTTCGCATGTAAGAAAGTGCTCGCTAATTGCCCGGTTACATTCGGTTTTGTTTCTGTAAACTTCATCGATTAGCGCGAGTATTACGAGTATCTATCTAATCATATTTCTCTGAGACATCCTCACAAGAATTCCACAATTTTCGACCTACTAAAACATTGTAGCATTTTTGAGCCACATTGTATTGAAGTATACTCAATGGTACTATCGAACGACATTTCGAAACGCACAATGCATGCGGGTACTGTTAAGCTTTTTATTTCCTCTAATTGTTAGTCATAATTCTTTAGAATCGCGGAGACGGCGTAATTAGAGTCAATTTCACCGTAACATGGCAATTAGTCGGTCGCAGTACGCCTGGGAAATTCGTTTATTCGTCGACTTCCAGTTAATTTCAACGACTAGATATAGGGATGGTCGCAAATCGGGATACTTTAATCTCGAACATACATCTTGCTGCGATATTTAATGTACCTGGGGCGAACGCGGTACCCGAAATTCGCCCGAATTTCGCAACCCCGTCCCGGCATCGATCCAGCCCGGCGTATTCAGCGTGACGTCGCCGGAACGGCATCGGCGTCGTTTATTATCGTACGCAACGGAAAAGCCCCCCCTTTACTCTAAACCCACATACGCTCGACTCTTTGTTCCCTCTGACATTCCCCGTATATAACGTGCGCATCTACCGGCCAATTCGGTCCCTTTTCGAATTCAAACTCTACATAGGTACTCTTGTTTTCGTCCGAGAATCGGCGAGCGCACCAGAACCGTGGAGAAAAAAATGCGGAGTAGAAGACGACCCGAAACGAGATTTGAATTCTCAATGCCGTCGTCGGTGCCGGTTCGGGTTTTAACGAGCGAGAGATCTATATTCGAGACGTCGAGTCGAGTCGGCGGGGTTCACGGTCCCGGAGGATTAAAATGCACTTCGTATATTACACCGGCCCCCGAACAAAGAAACACCACGACGGTTCGGTGGAAAAAGCGCAGTCTCCGACTCTCGAGCGTACAACATATACATACAACACGCTCTAATCCATCGGTGACGTCACCGACGTGATAAATCGAACGGACTGTAATCGACCTAACGCGACGATTGGTGTGTCGAACTCATTACGCCGCCTCGAAAACCTGCGGCGATGGGCTTTTTCCGTATATGTGTACCGGCCACAGCTGTTCCTTTTTGTCGAGCAGGTGGTTCCACATCTGTCCGGCGGTAGTACCGACTCCGGAGCGCCGAGAGGATCCGCTGCTCTCTCCTCCGCATCGATTCGTGTCGAATTTATCGAGCAAAAACGTTCCCCCATCGAACTTTGCGTGTGTCCCTCGTATATTTCTTTAATGCTTCAATTACTATACACACGTATAGAGCAGAGTAAAGTAGTAGCAGGTTAAAGTAGAGTAGCAGTAGAGTAGAATAGAGGAGAGTAGAGTAAGGTAGCTTACGAGTAGAGAAGAAGGTAGTAAAGTATGGTAAAGAAGAGTAGAGAAGAAGAGAGTAGCGTAGGAGTAGAGTAGCGTAGGAGTTGAGTAGAGAAGAAGAGAGTAGCGTAGGAGTTGAGTAGAGAAGAAGAGATTAGCGTAGGAGTAGAGTAGAGAAGAAGAGAGTAGCGTAGGAGTAGAGTAGAGAAGAAGAGAGTAGCGTAGGAGTAGAGTAGAGAAGAAGAGAGTAGCGTAGGAGTTGAGTAGAGAAGAAGAGAGTAGCGTAGGAGTAGAGTAGAGTGGCTTGTAATAATTTTATGCATTGGGAGCGCGAAATTCGCCTAAAACGCGGATTGGCTTGTCACAAAGGAAATTTTCATGGCTATTTTTAAACCGAGAAAGGTCGAAATTAATATTTTTAATTGTCTTTGCGAAGAAAGAAAACGTTCAAGTACGCGTACGGCTTACCTACGCATTTATTTACGTATATCCTTTGTTTCTTTGTTTGATGGATTTTTGTTTTCTTTTTTTTTATTTATTCCGTAGAAAAAGAATAATAGCTGGAAAAGCGACCGTGCGGGATTGCTAGGTGTGCAATAATTCGAAGAAGCGGTAAATAGCAACAATTATACCGGGTGTTTTATTAAAAACTCGATATTTTTTTTTTTGGCGTACGAGGGGAGATCGGAATATTAGATTGTGTTTGACGCGTTTGTCATTGTTGGGATTCTTGGGTGCGATAGAGAGAGAGAGAGGCGAGATTCGTCCGTATTAAGATAACAGATCGTTGACTTGATTTCCACGAAATGTTTCACGGTTTCACGTGCACTGCTACAGGTATAATACAAATCGAGAATCGACATATTCGAAATGCTTTGCTAATGAATCACGCGAAAATCGCTTTCAATCCGAAATCCAGCGACTGATGTGTTTTTTTTTAAGAATTTTTTATTCAAAGTGCATACAGGGTGTCTCATATTTTTTCGTTAATTCTAGCCGCTGTGAAAATGCAACGTCTATACCTAGAAATTGTTTTTATGTTCCGTACAATTCTTATACAGTGACATTAAAATTGGTTCTTTCTGGTTGGAGGAGGCTCTTATTATGATGTTGGATTCTCGAAATAATAAGTGCGAGTTAATTACATATGAAAAAACGGAGTTCCTCTCTTCGCTTCACGAATAATTATACAGGATAAGCAGAATGAAAAAAAAATACGGACTTTGTCATTATGGAGAAGTATTGCGACAAGAGTCATTTAAAATTATATCGGTACAAATTACCCCGTAATTTGTCGAGCGAATTGAATGAAATTTTTAATAAATTTTTCGGTAAAAATCTGTTTGCTGCAAGCGAAGGTGCGGTTTTTTAAAGATTTTTGTTACTGGATGTTTGCCATACTCGCCGGTTTTAATTGTTATGAAGTCGTGGGGATATTTTCGTTAAATTTGAAAAATGGTAAATAATATTTTTCTTGCCTATTCGCAAAATCTCCGTCTGAATAACTTCGTTAAATAACAGTTTTCGTTGCGATGTCAAAAATTATTTTGACTGTTTTATACGAGGCGAATCAACAAAACTCTGCATAGCTAATGCAACTCGGTTTTAAGACCTGCAACTTGCTGATATTTTGATCAATATTTATCTGAAAAATCCCAAAGAAACAGCGAGTAGATTATAATTTTTTGTATACATCATTTTAAAAGCGACATCTGAAAATGCGGGTTAAAAATAAACTGCAATACTTATTGCTCTCGCGTCCGTTCAATGTCGAATGAAAGTAAATATATTAATACAAATCGGACGGATGCAAAAAAATCCGCAATGTCGCGTGCTGCTGGTTATAACGAGATCGCCGATGGTGGAGCAGGTGAACCTACCACCTGCCCC